CAACCAGCGGCACCATTTAAAGAGGAAGAGTGCAAAAGCGAATGCAAGAAACGAGATGCCAGCAAAACGTACAAGAAAGGAGGCAGCAGGCAAGGTGGTGACGGCATGAAGAAAGGGGTACTTAGCTGAAGGTGTGAGAGCGAGCACAAGGCAGCTGCAGCACCACCAGGTGACTTCCTTCCATGCCAGTGCGCCTCCCAGCATCCTCTCCTTCCCTCCCTTTCTCCTCCAGTGCTTTCGCTGCTCCTCCTAGTGCGCCATTCAGCCCCCTCTGCTGCCCTCCACGCTGCTGCTGCTGCTGCTGCTGCTGCTGCTGCTGCTGCTGCTGCCACAGTTGCTGCCAGTGCACTCCTCAACTCCCTCTGCTGCATGAGGAGTGATCTGGTTGGGGGGCAGAAAAAGGGGAAGTAAAAGTGAGTGGGTTGGCATGACCTGAAAAAAGAAAAACTGAAGTTCACAAAAACGAGTGGCAGGATTGAAGAGCTGAAAGGAAGAGAGATGAGGGCAAGAGGGGAGGTGACGTATCTTGAGAGGCCAAGCCCACCCCAATACTCTCCCTTATGGCAGCGACTAGTAGTGCTGCTGCTGCTGCTGCCACTGCTGCTGCCAGTGTGCCCTTCAGCCCCCTCTGCTGCATGTGGAGTGATCTGGTGGGGGGCAGAAAAAGGAGAAGTAGAAGCAAGTGAGTTGGGATGACCAGGAAAAACAACAAAAGCTGCAGCTGACGAAAATGGCAAAGACAAAATTGAAGTGCCAAAAAGGAGAGAGCTGGAGAGGTGACGTACCTTGAGAGGCCAAGCCCACCCCCTATACTCTCCCATCCCCGATAGGCAGCGTTAGGCAGTGCTGCCTCCCTCCCATCCCCACGGGTACCTGCACGGCCACTGGGGAGGGGCGTGGGGGAGCGTCGGAGTTGACCCCCGCCCCTCCCCTCCACCTGCAAGGCACACACGCAGAGCTGGTCAGTGGGCAGCGAGGGGATGAAGAGTGAAATTGCAAGAGCGAGAACAGAATTTGCAAGGAGGGAGAAGGGAGGGGCCACTGGTGGACGCCAAGCTACAAACCACAGACCCCAAGGGCTAGACCTGAGGGGATACATGAACCTGAGAGGGTACCTGCACCTGAGGGCATACCTGCACCTGAGAGGGTTACCTGAAGTGAGGGGGTCTGTGGCATGTGAGCTGGGCCCAACCAGTGGCACTGTTTCAAGAGGAAGGGTGCAAAGCGAATGCAAGAAACGAGATGCCAACAAACGATCACAAGAAATGGTGAGGTAAGAGGTTGAGGGAACTTAGCTGAAGGCGCGAGGTGAGAGTGAGCACAAGGCAGCAGACCACCACCAGGTGACTCCCTTCCATGGCAGCCCTCCTCCCAGCCTTCCCATGTGCGTCCCTCCTGCACGGCCACCGGGGAGGGGCGTGGGGGGATGGCGGTGCTGACTCCCACACCCCTCCCCTCCACCTGCAAGGCACACACACAGTGCTGGTCAGTGGGCAGCAAAGGGATGAAGGTTGAGACTGCAACAGCAGAGCATGTAAGGCAAATGTGAGGGGAAGGGCCACTGGTTGAGGCACAACTGCAAGTCACAGACCCCCAAAGGGACCTGAGGGGCTCTAAGGCTGTAGGGGGCTGAACCTGAACCTGAGGGGTTTACCTAGAATATGGGGGGAGAAGGTCTGTGGCTTGCGAGTCGGGCCCCAACCAGTGGCGAGATTTGACGGCAGAGATAATGGAAAAATACAAGTGAAAAAGAATAACGAGCACTTGGCAGAACAGTAGACAAGGTTCAAGGAGGCGAGGCACTTAGCTGAAAGTTGGAGCAGTGGTGGTGGTGGCGGAGGGTGGTGCGTTGAAGGAGAGTGGGCGGGGGCGAGCGGATGAGGTGCGACCCAATGAGAAGGGTTGAAGGGAAGGACCTGCGAGGCAGAGGAGAAGGGAGAGAGAGAGTGAGTGCGGGGTAGGCGGGAGGGAGCGGACGTTGCAAGTGAGAAGGCCGCCTGACAGCAGTGCGAGTGCAGAAACGACGGTGCATGCGATGCCGCCCACAGCCCCACAAAATCCCCTACCAACCTGAACCTGAACCTGAACCTGCACCTGAACCTGCACCTGAACCTGCACCTGAACCTGCACCTGCACCTGCACCTGCACCTGCACCTGCACCTCAACCTGAACCTGAACCTGAACCTGAACCGGGCGGGAGTGGGGCTCTTGTGGATTGTGGAGGCGGGGCGATACTTGCAACCTCGACCGTCCATGAGGCCAGCGCTGCTGCCCTGCTGCCCGCCCCCCCCCTGCCCGCATTGGCGCCCCCCTCGCTTGCTGCTCGCCTTGCGCTCGCCTGGCAGAAAGAGCGGTGAGGGCGGGCAGGAAGGGGAGGGGGAGGAGGAGTGGGGGGCATGAAGGAATGAGTGGAAGTTGAGGAACAAGAGGTGGGTGGAAGTGAGGAGTGAGAGTTGAATTGTAATGAGGGCGATGCGTGTGTGATGAGGGTGGGTATGATGTGAGCATGACTTATGAGCATGAGCATGAGTGCAGGCAGCCAGGGCGATCACGCTGCAGACCTCAGACGGACGGACACGGACAGCTAAGCAGGACGGATGGACGGACGCCTAACCAAGACAAGACGCCTAGCTGACGCTAACCCAGACCTAGGGGAAGAGACAGGGAGGTCTGCAGGCTTGCCTTGGGCTGGCATTGAGTGGCGTGTGCAATGAGCAATGGAGAGTGGAAGGGAGGCGAGGCGAGGGTACTTATCTGTGCGCAGGGGGAGAGGCAGTGCGATGGCGAGTCGAAGGGCGAGTGAGGTGGGACGCCCAGCGGTGGTGCCTGCATGCGAGTGAACGCCACGTGCTCGTTTCTGCCTCGCTGCCATGCTGACGTAATCGTTTCATGCTGCCTCCCATGCCGCCTGCTGCTTCCTGCACGGAAAACAACCTTTCTTCAGAAACAGGCTTCATGGAACAATACAATACAACAACGTTAAAAGGACGGAACATGAACGAAGCGCGTGCAATTACGCTGATCTAACAAGGGTTGACGGCTTACCGCGGAATGGCGATGGAGGGAGCAGGCGAAGGGGGTGATGCATGGGCGGATGGACGACGCGTGGCGAGCGGAGAGCAGCGCCAGTGGAGCCGCGGGGAAGGATGGGGACTGCGATTTGAATGATGACCGAGATTTTCGAAAATTGCTTCATGCTTGAGATTACCTGAAACGGGAAACGCAGAACGATATAAGTAATGGCAAACAATGATCACGAATTGATGCCAACCGCATATATGCGACGCTCAGGACGCACAAGATACAGAACGATAAGGAAAATCGGCATCCGTGAGAAAAACGTACGGATCAGGTTGAAGTCGCGATGCGGTCGTGTAGGCGAATAATTGACGACACGTCGTCACCGCGTCGGCGATCGATTGAATGTGCAGCCTCGCGCGGAATTTCAGCACCAGGCGACGACGAATGACGTGGTCGATGGCAGGTGTCGTCTGAAAGTCGCGAAGTGGTCTTCGATACGGAAAATCGTCAACACGTCCGCGATCAACGAATCGGCTTCGGCGTGCCTAATCTGACGAGGAATCGAAAATGTCGTGAAGACCGATTGAGCCGCTTCGGCAATGGCAAGTCTCGTCTGAAGAAAGTGCAGAACAGGAGCTGACGACGAATTGGAAATGTGAAGAACTGAATGAAGAGTCGTAGACTAGCCAAACTGAATGAGAAGCGTAAACCAGCCGTGTTGAGTGCGAGCGGGGGGAAAACTAGGAGCGAAAAGGAGAGCGGGAGGAGCGAAATGCGGAGGGAGAGGTGGAAGCAGCAGTTTGGGTGGGAGCGTGGCAAGGCAATCGGAGTTGCGTTCGCAATCCCAACTTGGGCACTTTGTGGGTGCGTAAATAAAAAGCCGTTGCGACAAATAATTTCGAGCGCGAAAAATGTGAAAATTCGAATGGGATGTCCGAATCAGCAGCACCTATGCTACATGGCCAGTCAAAACTAAACCAGGGGGCCGAAGTGAGTGACGTGGGTTGCCTATGACCCCAAACACGGCCAACTAAGCTCAGATTTTCCTCGGGGGGTCACTAAGCTGTCGTGAGGGTTGAAACAGCGCGAAAGGAGGTGGCTCGAAGGAGAAATTCTTCGTGGCGGGCCGAAGCGCAGCGGATATTAGTGCAGAAAATAGGATGAGAATGAATGGTTCGCTGCTGGTGGGAGATATGGCGGGAGGGAGTTGCTGCTGTCAGAGTAGACCAGCTCGAATTCAGAGTCTCACTGACGCCAGAGGGGATGGAGTGGATGCACTTGGAATGTGTTGGAGTGTTGCAGCACATTCAGTGCTTCGAGGTACACCACAAATGTTTTTTGCCCTTACAAACGGCTTGAGCTTGTTAGATTAATGGAAATTCATCATCTTGGTGTTTCGCCGTACAAAATCGTTATGATTGGCACTAAAATATTGTTTTTCGTTGTTAATTAATGCAGTCATGGTTATTGTATCAGCAGCGTGACAGTCTGAAATATTTGAAACTAATATTTTAAGATGTAATTAATGCACTGTGCTAAAAATAATACGAATTAATACCTGAATGAAAATGGTTGGTGCAGTTATTCTGCTGTAGACTCCACAATGGGGTTGATGACTATATCTGGTGATCCATTCATGTACGGTAGAAGGCGTTGTCCTGCAACAAGCTATCCTCGTTTGAGTTTCACCGTCGGAGGAACCCAAGGCATCTTTGAGTGAAGAGCTGTTTCTGCTCTCTCGAGAATCTCTTTTGCTCCTGACGTTACCTCCAGCATCTCCCCAGCCCAGCTGTGCTGCTTTCCTCTCACAGCCAGCCGCCATGGATCCTTGCGTGTAATCACCATGGTTTCTTTCACCTTCTCTGCTGATCAGCACCTTCAAACTAGCGGTCATTTGGATTCCATCGCAACGTTGAGATTAGTATATTTTGCGGATTTCGAATCTATAAATTTGGCGGGTGGACAAGCGAGGGAGCACCATGGCGCGCAAGGGTTTAATGGAGCAGGATCTCAAGACGCTGGATGTGACGAAGCTCAATCCGCTGTCTCCTGAAGTCATCAGTCGACAAGCCACCATAAACATCGGTGCGTCCAGATCGCAGTTCTTGCGTGCAGTCGGCTCCACCTTATTTTATATAACCTTTTTTTTAACCTTTGCACTAACTTCCCTCCCCCCCCCCCCCCCCCCCCCCCCCTTTTGTACCATTTCTTCTTATGCCGATTTCTTGGGTGCGACTTTCAGGTACAATCGGCCATGTGGCTCACGGAAAATCGACTGTCGTGAAGGCCATTTCTGGCGTCCAGGTAGGAGGGTTGGCGATTTAGGTTCGAGTCAGCGTTTGGTGGAATGCGGGAAACTGCATAGACCAGCGATAGATCGGGATCGTTCCTCCTCCCGATGTGCATCCCACGCGCGATTCCTGTGTCCACTACCTCCCTCCCTTCCCTCATCTCATCTGCCGATTCTTGAGGCTCCGCAAACAACGCCCTCCTTCCACTTTCCCCATTTTATCCGCCTTCGCGTAAATTCGTCCCCCGCAGACGGTGCGGTTCAAGAACGAGTTGGAGCGCAACATTACGATCAAGCTGGGATACGCCAACGCCAAGATCTACAAATGCGAGGACGACGCCTGCCCTCGCCCCATGTGCTACAAGTGCGTAGCACGTTCTCGCTAGCGCACGATACCGAGGGTTGGTGTAGACTGGTGGAGTGCTATGTGGGAATTTATGGCTTGGTCGAGGCTGATCTTGGCAGCTGTCGGTTGGTCTTTAATATCTTTATGTTTCCTTTCCGCGCGTGCAGGGCGTATGGCAGCAGCAAGGAGGACAGCCCGCTGTGCGACGTGCCGGGATTCGAAAAGGCCCGCATGAAGCTGATGCGCCACGTGTCGTTCGTTGATTGCCCGGTGAGGCCGTAGGTCGTTGTAGAAGCGTGTGGTGCACGCTCGCAGTGCTGCTGCTGACAGTGGCCAGTGTTAGCCTTTTTCCCTGATACGCTGCCATCTCCACGGTGCTCACTAGGAACCGCGTGCTCACTCCCAAGCCACGTAGTGCTGCTATTGATACCCTTTACTCGCCAGTGCTCACCGGTACTAGCCGTTTCGCTTCATCGCGCAGCCATCGCAAGGCAGATAGTCGGCTAGTCGCGCTCCTTCCGCAGGCGCACACTTGTTCTCGCGTCGATCATGGTTTGGGATTCACAGCCATTGTCGAACTCAAAGCCTCTCCATCGTAGCTCCAGCTCACTCGTCTCCTACCCGTTGCTCCCTCTCCCACGGACCTCCCTGCACCTCCTCTCAGCTTTCCCCCTCCGCTTTTCCCTTCTCCGCTGACCCTCCTCCACCCTCTCTCCCCTCCCCCCGGCAGGGCCACGACATTCTGATGGCGACGATGCTGAACGGCGCGGCGATCATGGACGGCGCGCTGCTGCTGATCGCGGGCAACGAGAGCTGCCCGCAGCCGCAGACGTCGGAGCACCTGGCGGCGGTGGAGATCATGCGGCTGAAGCACATCATCATCCTGCAGAACAAGATCGACCTCATTCAGGAGAGCGTCGCGCTCAACCAGCACGACGCCATCCAAAAATTCATCCAGGTGGGGGAAAAAGGGGGAAAGTCAGGGTGTTTGTGGGAATGGTTAGAAATTAGCTTGCAAATTTGTTACGCTCAACCAGCCCGACCCCATTCAAAAGTTCATTCAGGTGAGCACGAAAAAATGTCTGTGCATGCGGCTCAAGTACAACGTGGTGTGTGTACGAGATGATCATCAAGCGGATTCCCATTTCCTCTGCCCCTATCCCCTCACGTTCACTCCCTGCCCTCCCATACCATCACACCGCACGCCACCGTACCCCACCGCATGGTACCGCACCCCCCTGTTCCCCACCGCACTTCACCTCTCCGCACCGCAGGGCACCATTGCGGACGGCGCGCCGGTGATCCCCATCAGCGCGCAGCTCAAGTACAACGTGGACGTGGTGTGCGAGATGATCATCAAGCGCATCCCCATCCCCTCTGCCCTTATCCCCTCGCACCGCACTCCACCGCACTCCACCGCGCTGTACCACACTCCACCTCACTCCACCGCAGGGCACCATTGCAGACGGCGCGCCGGTGATCCCCATCAGCGCGCAGCTCAAGTACAACGTGGACGTGGTGTGCGAGATGATCATCAAGCGCATCCCCATCCCTGACCGCGACTTTGTGTCGCCGCCCAACATGATTGTCATCCGCTCCTTCGATGTCAACAAGCCCGGCGCTGAGGTCGACGATATCAAGGGTGGCGTTGCTGGCGGCAGTATCCTGCACGTGAGTCGCTCCCTCCCCCTCTCACTCCCCTCCCCTACTACTCCCTTCCCACCCCCTTCCCTCCCTCCCTCCCTCCATCCCCGCTCCCATTTCTCTCCCTTCCACCCCCACATCCTCTTCCCCCCCTTTCCTCCCTCCCTCCTTCTCCTTCAACTCTTCCCTGTTTCTCAGTTCTCACCATTTTTACTCCCGTATTCCCATTTGTTCCTGTCTCCTTTTCATGCGCTTTCCACTCACCCCTCCTTACCATCCCAATCGTACAACAGGGAGTGTTGAGGGTGGGGCAGAAGATAGAGGTGCGCCCAGGCATAGTGGCCAAGGATGCGGATGGCAACATCCGCTGCACGCCCATCTGCTGCTTCCCACTGCCCTCTCGTGCCCGGCCCCCACTCTTTCCCACCCTCCACCCCCCTCCCCCTCCTCCACTCCCCCCCACTTCCCGTCCTCCCCTCAATCACAGGGTGTGCTGCGCGTGGGGCAGAAGATCGAGGTGCGGCCGGGCATAGTGGCCAAGGACGCGGACGGCAACATCCGCTGCACGCCCATCTTCTGCTCTGCTTCTCACCACCCTCTCATACCAACCTCTCAACTCCCCCTTCCTGCTTCCCACCCATCCTCCTCCCCCCTTTCCTTTTCCGCCCCCCCCCTTCTTTCCCCCCTTCCCTCCCACTCCCTCCCCTTCCCCTCTGTCAAATGAATCACAGGGTGTGCTGCGCGTGGGGCAGAAAATCGAGGTGCGGCCGGGCATCGTAGCCAAGGACGCGGACGGCAACATCCGCTGCACGCCCATCTTCTCGCGCATCATCTCTCTCTTCGCCGAGCAGAACGAGCTGCAGTTCGCCGTGCCGGGCGGGCTCATCGGCGTGGGCACCACCATTGACCCCACGCTTACCCGTGCTGATCGCCTCGTGGGGCAGGTGCTGGGGGAGGTGGGGGCCCTCCCAGACGTCTTTGTTGAGCTGGAGGTGAGACCAACGGGATGGGACACAGCGGGCATTGATGCGGGGCAGCAGGTCCACATGGGAAGGGAGGTTTGGACGTGGCGTGGGCATGGGGTGTACGTATGGGGACAGGGAGGGGCAGAACGAGCTGCAGTTCGCCATGCCAGGGGGCTCATTGGTGTGGGCACCACCATCGACCCCACGCTCACCCGTGCTGACCGCCTCGTGGGGCAGGTGCTGGGGGAGGTGGGGGCCCTCCCAGACGTCTTTGTTGAGCTGGAGGTGAGACGAATGGAACGGTGCACATGGATGGGGGCCGCATTGAGCATGGATGTGTGTGCGTGGTGTGAGCATGAGGTGTATGCAGCATCAAGGGGGTTGTCTCGTGGGGCAGGTGCTGGGGGAGGTGGGCGCGCCGCCAGACGTGTTCGCTGAGCTGGAGGTGAGTGGAGGGGGACTATGGGCAATGAGTCTTTGGAGGAGTGGGCATGGGTGTGAGGGCGCGTTTCACATTGGGTGAGGCAAGGGCAATTCAAGGTGCTGATGCTCAAAATTGGGCCCATGTCCCCTTTCTCCCCTCAACCGCGCTCCCATCTGACAGATCAACTTCTTTTTGCTGCGGCAGCTGCTAGGAGTGCGTACCGAAGGCACCCAAAAGCAGGCCAAGGTGTTAAAGCTCACCAAGGGCGAGGTGCTGATGCTCAACATCGGGTCCATGTCCACTGGTGCACGCGTGGTGGCTGTGAAGAACGATCTGGCCAAGCTGCACCTCACCCATCTCTCATGCTCATGCTCAATTTCTGGTCCATGTACCCCACCCCTCCCCACCCCTCCAACCCCGTCCCCCCTGTCAGATCAACTTCTTCTTGTTGCGGCGGCTGCTGGGAGTGTGCACCAAGGGCACGGAGAAGCAGGGCAAGGTGGCGAAGCTGACCAAGGGCGAGGTGCTGATGCTCAACATCGGGTCCATGTCTACTGGTGCGCGCGTGGTGGCGGTCAAGAACGATCTCGCCAAGCCGCACCTCACCTCGCCCCTCTTTCCCCCCTCCTCCCTTCCCCCGCTGGACAGATCAATTTCTTCCTTCTGCGACGACTCTTGGGAGTCCGCACCAAGGGCACGGAGAAGCAGGGCAAGGTGGCGAAGCTGACCAAGGGCGAGGTGCTGATGCTCAACATCGGGTCCATGTCTACTGGTGCGCGCGTGGTGGCGGTCAAGAACGATCTCGCCAAGCCGCACCTCACCTCGCCCCTCTTTCCCCCCTCCTCCCTTCCCCCGCTGGACAGATCAATTTCTTCCTTCTGCGACGACTCTTGGGAGTCCGCACCAAGGGCACGGAGAAGCAGGGCAAGGTGGCGAAGCTGACCAAGGGCGAGGTGCTGATGCTCAACATCGGGTCCATGTCCACTGGTGCACGCGTGGTGGCGGTCAAGAACGATCTCGCCAAGCTGCACCTCACCTCGCCCGTGTGCACCAAGACTGGCGAGAAGCTCGCTCTGAGCCGGCGCGTGGAGAAGCACTGGCGGCTGATTGGGTGGGGGCAGATCCAGGCTGGGGTGAAGCTCGATGTGCCTCCGCCCGTTGACTTGCCCAAGTAGAGATGGGAACTTGTTTAGGCAAATTGGGAAAATGTTCAGTAGCATGGCAGCAGCAGAGGCAGGGCTGCGGCAGTAGCAGGCCGAGGGGGTGGCAGATGGTGGAGGATGGGCTGGGCAGGAGGTGGTGGGATGATATGTTAGTAGAAGACAGCATGTACCGTATGAGCAACGAGGTAGAAGCTGTTACGGGACGGAAGCAGGTCTCTGCCTTAGCCAAGACCGTACCTGGCTTTGCTAGTACCCGTTTTTCATTTTAGGGAAATTGCTGTATGTTAGTCATCAGTGAACATATTGCTCTCTTCTAACAAACAGCTTGTGAAGATTTGATTGCAATACAATATGATGACCCTGCTCCCAAACAAGATCTGTTAAAGAACAGCAAAGAAAAGAAGAGCTATATCATTTGAGAGCAAGCACGAGTGCAGCAATAAGAGCCAGTAGCACCCCGAGCACAGCCAACAGCAGCGACACAGCCCTGCCTGCTGAACCCTTCTCCCCCACCCGTCCCTTCACGGCACTCGTATCACTGCTGCCAGAGCTGCCAGGGCGGGTGCTGCTGTGTGGCTTGGCATGTGCAGTTCCAGGGGGAAGCCACACAGCAGCAGGTGCAGCACTGCCCTCCATGCCACTCTGCTCCTCCTCTCCCTCTTCCACCTGCCCCTCCCATTCCACACCAATGCCCTGCTCCCTCATTGCCTCGTCTGCCACTGCTGCCATCCCACACAGCTCGCCGCATCTATCCTCTGCTGCCTGTCGGAGGGAAGATGGGTGCAAAGAGAGGGGATGAGTCAGCATAGTCTGGTGGGATGCACTGGTGATGCCACTGCTGCCATCCCACACAGCTCGCTGCATCACTCCTCCGCTGCCTGTGGGAGGGAAGATGGGTGCAAGGAGAGGGAGTGGGTCAGCATAGTGACTTCTTAGTTGTCTCAAAAGAGAGTAGGTCAGTGTAGTGCGTGGGATGCACTGCTGTTGCCACTGCCCCCATCCCACACAGCTCGCTGCACCGCTCCTCCGCTGGAGGGGAGGGGAGGGGATACAAAGCACTGGCACTGCAGTGCACCATACAGCAGTCATCCCCGGCCATAAGCCCTCTCCTCCTAAGAGCCCATTCGCCCAATTGCACTGCTCTAACCCCCTCTCTCTTCCTCGCCTTCCCTCTCCTATGAGCACACATCCTTTCCCCCCATTTCACCTCCGCCCTTCCCCCATCTCACCTCAGCCCCTTTCCCCATCTCACCTCCGCCCCTTTCCCCATCTCACCTCCGCCCCTTCCCCCCATCTCACCTCCGCCCCTTTCCCCATCTCACCTCCGCCCGTTCCCCCATCTCACAGTAGTCCGCCAGCAGCAAGCCCCCTTCCCCTTCCTCCTCCCCCTCACTTTCCCCCCGCCTCCCCCCTCCCCCAGCCACAGAGCAGCGCAGCAGCACACGCCGGGGGAGGTGCCATCTGGTGAAGGGCGTCCTGTGCAGCTTGCCATTCAGCAATGGCCTCTCAATCTCCTCCTCCTCCTCCACCTTGTCAGTCTTCTCCTCCTCCTCTCCTCCCTCCCTTGCCTTTCCCTTCAACTCTCCGCCTGCCCCTCTCTCCTTCCCCCCCCCCTCCGCCTCATCGCGCTCCCCCTGTTCTGCCTGCTCCTCCTCCCCATCCTGTACCAAATCTAGCCGGCTCACCACACTGCGCACAGCGTCAACCTGGAAGATATGTGAAAGGGCAGGGTGGAAGGAAGAGAGGTAGAGAGAGTGCACTGAGGCACTCGTCCTCCTCCTGCACTAGGTCTAGCCTGCTCACCACACTGCGCTCAGCGTCAACCTGAATGTGAGTTGGGAAGGCAAAAGAGCAAGGTAGAGGAAAGAGAGGGGGACGTTGAGGGTGAGGGGAAGGGAGGTAGGGAGACCACACAGGCGGACCTCCCCATCCTGCTGGCTCACCACGCTGCGCACAGCACAGCATCCCCAACCTGGAATGGAAAGAGGGGGGGAGTGTGGGGGAGCGTGGGGGAGTGTGGGGGAGGATGGATTGAGAAAGAGGGTAGAGAGACAGGAGAAGGCAGAGAGACACAGGTCTTGAGGTCATGAATCGATTGGAGATTGAGCTCAGAGAAAAGGCTGCTGGGGCATGGTGGTGGGGCACATAGCCTCAAACCTTTGAGACGCGACCCTTAGGCCAGGGATCGACCTCACACTAGAGAGACGGCCTTTGAGGCGAGTTCTGAGACGTCTCAAAAACCTTTGAGAAGAGGAAGCAACACGCCTTGAGGGACCACTCGGGAGAAGGATCATCATGGCATGCGAAGCAGCTTCTGAGGTGCCAGTACGTAGAAAACATACTATTGAGGCAGCATTAAACGAGGGGTAGGTTGCGAGGAACCCACCTTGAGGTCGTGTAGCACTTGGGAGAAGGGGTCTCGGGGCATGCATGGCGAGGCAGCTTCTGAGACGCCTCACAAAAAACTGTGGGTAGAGAGACTACTATCGAGGCAGTTCAAAAAGCAGGCACTGAGGCAGCAACCCACCTTGAGGTCGTGCAGCACTCGGGCGAAGCGGCGGTAACGGGGTCCTGGCGAAGGACGAGTGAGTTACTAAGGCGAGTCAAGATAGCGGGTAGAGAGATGAACTCTGCCTGGTAAGCAAGCATCACAGCTTGAGGTCGTGCAGCACTCGGGAGAAAGGGGCATGGCGAGTCGACTTGTGAGGCGGCTAAAAAGGAAGGCAGTGAGGAGACGCACCCTGAGATCGTGCAGCACTCGGGAGAAGGGGTCTCGTGGCATGGCGAGGCAGAGCGCCAGAACACTGCCTGACAGCGCCACCATGCCATGCACGTGACCGTCCTTGCTGCCTGCAGTGGTGGGATGGGAATGGGGCGTGAGAGGGAGCATGAGAAGGGAAGAATAGTGCCAACACTCCCTCTGACAGCGCCACCATGCCATGCACGTGACCGTCCTTGGCATCTGCAGTGGTGGGGACAACGTGGATAGAGGGATGGGAGGTGAGACATGGCAAGGGGTCTCGGGGCATGGCGAGGCAGAGCGCCAGCACACTTCCTGACAGCGGCACCATGCCATGCACATGACCATCCTTGGCAAGGGGTATCGGCGCATGGCAAGGCACAGCGGCCCCTGACGTGTGCAGTGGCGGGGTGTGGTGGCGTGGGAGGAAGGAGGAGTGCCATGTGATGTGTATGGGCACAGATGCATGATGGGGTATGATGTTAAGGGGTTGATGGGGTGTGATGGCATCACTCTTACATAGGATCTTGGATATGAAAGGAAGGAACCTACCGTCTTGAAGAGGAACGTTCCAGGAAGGTGGGAGAGCCCAGTCCACACGCACATGACTGCCTCCCTCAGATGCCGCCTCCTCTCCTCCCTTCCCCCCTCCCCCTTTTCCCCCTCTCCCACCCCCCTTCTTCCCCCCCTTGGCCCCCTTTCCTCCGCCCGCCTTCCCTGCTTTCCCCACCCCTCCTTTCAAGTTGCTCTCTCCCCCGACCACGTCCCCCCCTTCCACCTGAATGGGGGAGATGTGTGGATATTAAGGGCAGAGACGGGACAAGGGGTTGTGAGGGAGGAGCGGCAGTAAGGGAGGTTGGCAAGGCATGGAGATGAGAGTATGCGTACTCTCCTCGCTGCCCATCCTGTGGAGCTCATAGTGCCATGTGGGTTGAAACAACTACCAAAACATCCACCCACGATCATGCCACACCCACCAGCATGCCATGCACCCAGCATCACCCCATACACCCAGCATCACCCCATACACCCACCATCACCCCATACACCCAGCATCACCCCATACACCCACCATCACCCCATACACCCACCATCACACCATACACCCACCAGCATGCCATCAACGAACGCCATGCCTCCATCCATCTGCCGAGCTATATGCTTCAATGCACTTGCTGCTGCTGCCTGCACCGAGGGGGGCGAGAGGGCGGGAGGCGGAGGAGGAGGAGAGGGAGGAACGGAGGAAGAGGAAGAGGGTGGGGGGAGCGATGGGGAGGAGATGACCGGAACTCTGGAGGAATGGGGATTTGGAAAGTAGGAGAGGAGGGAGGGTTGAGGAGAAGGTGTGAGAAGAAGCGCAGATAGGAGAGGTGGGTGATTTATAGGAACGCATGGGTCAATCAAGTGAGATGAGTGCAATGCCGTAAAAAAGGGGTCATTGAAAAGAGAAACGGGGGAAGGGAGAGGCAGGAGAGGGAGAGGCATACTGAGCGTGGAGGGAGAGTGTTGAGGAGACGAGGATTGGTGACGGGATGGCAGCGAGCTTGAAGTCGCATGGTGACATGGTAGCTGACGTGGCAGGTGATGACGTGGCGACAGATCGTGCTGAGAACCTGAGGAAGGGAATGGGGAGAGGGAATAGAGACAGGTGTAAGGGGGAGGGAAGAGGGCAGAGGGGACCTGGAGAATGGAGCATGTGAAATGGCAAGACATGCATGGGACTGGGAATTGGTAAGTTGATACAAGGGCTTGATATGACGTGACAAATAAGACATAGGCCATGGCACTGCAGGTGAGAATTGCATGGCAGGATGGTGGCGTAGTGTGGATTGTGCGACGTGGATCGGCTGCCTGGCATGACATGGCAGATATCCATATCACAACATGGCCGGGCATAACATGAAACGGCACGACATGGCATGGCATGGCATGTGAAGGCAAGGTAAAGACATCTGACCGGCGGGAGAAGGAGGAGATGTGCAGCAGAATGAGGTCGGTGGGAGGAGGGGGCAGCAGGGCAGCGAGTGAGGCGGGCGGAGATAGTGAGGCTGCAAGCGAGTGCAGGGCCTGGTGGGGAAAAGTGGGTGGAGAGGGATAGAGAGGGATAGAGAGGGATAGAGAGGGATAGAGAGGGATGAAGGAAGTGAGGTGAGACAACAACGGTGCTACAAAGGGGAAAGCTGTACAACTGGGCTGAATGGCTTCCCGCAAGCCAGCCAGCAAGCAAGCAAGTAGCACGAGGCATCAGAAGACATGCTAATGGATGGCACAGCTCAGCGACTGATTCACTTCTGAACAACAAAGAAGCACTCTGCCGTGCAGTTAGGAAGGAGGGCACCTGTGCCTGCAGCAAGGAGGGTGTGCTGACCTCCAGGAAGGAGGGAGGGCACCCGTACCTGCAGTTAGGAGGGCACCCGTACCTGCAGTTAGGAGGGCACCCGTACCTGCAGTTAGGAGGGCACCCGTACCTGCAGTTAGGAGGGCACCCGTACCTGCAGTTAGGAGGGCACCCGTACCTGCAGTTAGGAGGGCACCCGTACCTGCAGTTAGGAGGGCACCCGTACCTGCAGTTAGGAGGGCACCCGTACCTGCAATTAGGAGGGCACCCGTACCTGCAGTTGGAGGGCACCCGTACCTGCAGTTAGGAAGGCACCCGTACCTGCAGTTAGGAGGGCCGTACCTGCAGTTACGAGGGCACCCGTACCTGCAGTTGCGAGGGCAACGGTACCTGCAGCAAGGAAGGCGCGGCGTTGCTGTACGCGGCATCAGAGCAGAAGGCGTACACCCCCAGCACGCCCATGCCTCCCAGCAGCAGGCGTGACACCTGCCACAGGGGGGGATGAGGAGGGGGGGGATAGGTTACACAGGGGGGGATGAGGAGGAAGGGGATAGGTTACACAGGGGGGGATGAGGAGGGGGGGGATAGGTTACACAGGGGGGGATGAGGAGGGGGGAGATAGGCTACACAGGGTGAGGGGAACAAGGAGTTGCAGGCGACACACGAAAGCATACACTCCCACGCCCATGCCTCCCAGCACGCCCATGCCTCCCAGCAGCAGCCGTGACACCTGCCACAGCAGAGAAGCAGGCGGCATCGGAGCAGAAGGGGAGGGAGAAGGGAGAGGGGAGATAGGTGATGCAGGGCGAGAGGAGCAAGCACTGGCAGGCGGCATGGGAGCAGAAGGCCTATACCCCCAGCATGCCTCCCAGCAACAGCCGTGATACCTGCCACAGGGGGAGATGGGAAGGGGGAGGGGAGATTGGTGATGCAGGGTGAGGGGAGCAAGGGATCGCAGGCGGCACAAGGGCAAGGCGAACATCCCCAGCACGACCATTCCAGGCCGGAGAATGCTTGACAGGGCCACGAAAGGAGGGATCATGGAGCGACTCCGCAATGGGAGGGGAGGTGGAGAGGTGAAGTTCCTAAGGAATGAGAAGGACAAGGGCGTTTAACTTGGATAGGAGGGTAAGGTCTGTACCTGAAATGAGTAACATCGTCACGCAGAGCCAGCTCACCTGGTAAATGCCTCACCTGCAGCGCGTGTTCGGCCACCCAGTCGCCGTCCACATGTCGCCACTCCCTCGAATCCGATCCGCTCCTTTCCGTGCCGCCCGCAACTGGCGCCGCCGCTCCTGGCGCTTTGGGCGTCGGCACGAGCGCGAAGAGGAGGTCGCGCGAGGCGCCTGATGCGGCGGCGGCGGCGGCGGAAAAGGAGGAGGATGAGGGGGATTGAGAAGCGGTGCTGGAGCGTCCAATTAGCAGACCCAGCTGGTGGAAGCCGATGAGAGAGAGGCACATGGGAATCAAAGAAGTTTACGGTGAATTAAGTGAATCAGTTTGATGCCGTTTCGGATTCTGCGCAATTTGACATTATATTGTCTGAACGCGCCTAAGGATCGGAATCCGTCGCAGCGTGAATGCGTACATATCGCTGGCCCCTCGCCCTGCCGTGTCTGAATTGAAGCGACACAATGCTACGTCATCCTGCCGCGTCGCGTCGTACCTCCCACGTCGCCTTATCGCGGAAGAGCTTGTCCACGTGGCGCTGGATCGCCGCCTCGTCCGCCACCACCGTGCGACCCATCGCGACCGCGCCTTACTGTGGCGCGGGTAACGCGCAATTCGCCCAAGCGGCGAGCTGCCAGAGCAATTGAGTCGTAGCGGCGCGGACCTAGTGATCTTTCACACTCACTGCCGCTGAGTCGCTGGTGGTGGACTTCGAATAATCACAAGAACGGCTGCTTACAACGAGTTTCTAGCCCCAACAGCCCATTGTTGTAACACATCCGCACCCCGGTGGAATGGCGGAAAGGAATTGACGGAAAGGCAAGCGACCGGACCGGACAGGAAGCGACCCGACAGAACAAGAAGTGACGGAACAGGAAGGAACGGGAAGGGACGAAATCTGGAGTGCGGAAGGCGAGGGATGGGACGAAACGGGTCGGGGCGGGGCGGGACGGGGATGGAAGGGACGCCAAGGGGCGGAAGGGGACGGGGAGGGACGGAACAAGGACGAAACGGGACGCGAGAAGGGCGAAAGAAGGGCGGACTGAGAAGGGGAATGGACGGATCGGGAAGCGAAAGGAAATTTAAATACGGGACGTGGACAGGAACGGGAGTGCCGCGTCGGGACGCGACGAAATGCGGCGAGAAGGAAATGAATGGTTCCCACGGCGCGCGGAAAAACCTTGGGAAGCGTGGGCAAAGTTGGCCCTCCAACTTTCTCCCAACTTTCCAGCTCGAAGAGTTTGTAGCTTTCAGTGTAAACAATTTCGTACATTCAACTCGATTTCGGTGTCCAGCTAGCTCGATTCCAGACGGTGCACAGCGGTTTTCAATCTTCACCGTTTTGCACCGTGACGCAACACGAGTAACCGCAAAAAAACAAACGAGGGACAAATGTGCTGGACCCGCCCTAACCACGTGCAGGAAGCCAGACCATGCATGCATACCGTGGGGGGGACCAGGGCATGGTGACATTTCAAGCAGGGAAACTCCCATGCCATCCCATCCCATCTCACGCAGCCGGACCCCTCCCTCCGTCCATTTCAGATCTCAACCACATCCCATCCCGGCCCAGCTCAGTACCCTGAGAATTCCACCCCCCTACCATGCTGCAAGAGCTCCCTTCCCTACCCGAAACCCTGGTCAGAACAACTTCGTCAGTTCGCCGAAGGCACTCGGTTCACGACCATTACCCGCAATTTTACCGTCATCTAAGAGCTCCCTTCCATTGCTGCCGCTTTCGCGTCGCACATTCCTCCATTCTGAGTTCTCGAGGTTCACATTTCTCCCCCCGCGCTTCCCCTTCCTCCATTCCTCCGTGTCATTTCTTCAGGCACACGCCACTCACCACACCAAGCCTTCGTGACGTTAGCCTGTGGATTTCGTCTGTCCTGCTCTTCCACCAGTCACTACGGTTAGTTCTTCCTTCCCGCCTCTTTTTTCGTCTGCCAGGACAGATTGCTTTGCTGAAAAGCTTGTAGTCCTCGTAGGTCTATTATCGTCTTCACAATAAGCTTGTCACTTGTGCTTTTTAGTCGCCTTAGATCCGCCACAATGTCAGACGAGTCTCCGATCCAAAGGCTATCCGACGATTTGCTCGCCAAGATCCTGCAGCTAGTTGTTCAACGCGACCAGCTCCTGCACGCTCTGGTGTGCACGAAATGGTGTGACGCAGCCTATTGCGTGCAGGACGCCATCCACGTATCCGATCGCCGTTTCGCAGACATCCCCCGTCGCATGAATCATCGCCAGCTGCTTGACCAGCTCGCGGCGTTTTCCAGTCTGAAGAAACTGGTTCTTTCAGAAGGATGTTTGTCCTTCGTACCGGACGTTTTCCTCGCTGGCCTAGCCCACTCGCACCCCCATTTGGTTGAGCTTCACATTTTAACTAGTTGGATCAATCAAATGTGAAATAGTTGAGCTCCTGGCAAAGATTTCACGACAGAAGGACTTTCAGACCTTTTTGAGGGTTGCACCAATCTAGAGGATCTGCGCCTCATGTGTCCATCGTCTATCCTTACCATTCCACCTTCCATCAGCAAACAGTCTCGACTCAAGAGCCTCTTCCTCAAAGCTGATAGAATTCAGCATCTTCCTGACGCAATCACGTCTTTGCAGCTTCTTGAGAACCTTGAGCTTAGTATGTCGAACCTACAAGATCTGCCGCAAGTTTTTGGCAACCTCAGCTCACTGAAGACATTTCACCTTTTGAGACGTCTCAAAACAACCTCAGCTCACTGAAGACATTGCACCTGCTTCACGTTTACTCTCTCCGCTCACTCCCGCCATCCATCCAGAAGCTCGCCAAACTAATCCGACTTACGATCAGCGGTTGCAGGTCATTTCAGTTACCAGGTGGTCTCTCCAAGCTTAAACGACTGAAGCAGCTTCATCTTGAGCTTTTTGAAGAGCTCTTGCCGCTGCCTGAAGATTTCGGAAATCTTCGGGCATTGGAATGCCTAGTCGTGAGGCGTGTGAAGGGGATTACGGAGCTTCCTGAGACAGTTGGACTTCTCCCACAGCTGCAGCAGCTTACCATCGACAGCTACAGCAGTTCCTCGTGGCTGCCCAGGTCCCTGCCCAATGTTTCAACTCTCACAGAGCTCAACTTGACCCAGCCAGGTGGTGTGGAGCTGCCAGATGGCATTGGTCAGCTGTCAAAGCTTAAGAGCATCAAGCTAGCAAGCTTCGTCACAGCCGTGCATCATCCACGTCCTTCGTCCCTGCCTCGAGACTTTGGGCAGCTATCTGCTCTAGAGATTCTGATTTTGTCTGACCTAACACAACTGAGCCACCTGCCTGACTCCTTTACAATGCTGTCTTCCCTTCAAAAGTTGGAAATCCGCGGCTGCTCGAGGTTAACTGCTCTACCAGAAGGGATGGGAGATGGCTTACACCATCTTCGGAAGCTGACCTTGAGTCGCATAGCCATTACCCACCTCCCTGCGTCCTTCTTCCACCTCTCATCGCTCCAAGCAGTAGACTTGTGTGGTCTCCAGTGTTTGAGAGACTGCCTTTTGGAGGGCTTCAGCAGCTTTTCACACCTTAGGGATCTCTCTTTAACTCTCATCCCACATCTGACTTCACTCCCTGCTTCACTCTCTCCATTAGCTCTCTCCCTCACCAGCCTGACGGTGCAAGACTGCAGTGAGCTGAAATCGTTGCCAGAGGAGATTGGGCAGCTGCAAATGCTGGAGAAGCTCGAGCTTTCAAAATTAGATGGTCTCGAATCAATCCCTCGGTCTCTTTTGAAGCTGCCTCGACTGCAGGAGCTGGGTGTGAGCCATTGCAAGTCCTTGAGCGGAAGGAGGGTGGACCCCTTGGTTGGGGGGAGGAGCAACTGCAGCCGCAGCAGCAGCAGCAGCAGCAGCAGCAGCATCGTTGCAGAGCCTGACCATTAACGATGTTTCTTCCGAAATTCTTGATTCATCCCTGGTTTGCATCTCTTCACTGACCAATCTGCGCTTGGAGTGCATGCCTGCACTTTGTGCACTTCCTGCTTCCATCTCTCGGTTGTCAAACTTGAGATCTTTGTTTTTCTCTAATGCCACGTGTCTCGAAGCACTGCCAGAAACAGTGTGTCAACTTTCCAGGCTTACATATCTCTGTCTGCATTCACTGCCCAATTTGCTTCAGTTGCCTGAGATGATTGGGCGGCTGAAGAAGCTCGAGTGGTTGATTATCTGTGATTGTCTGAAAGTATCAAAGCTTCCAGAATCGTTTCCTTATCTGCCCAGCCTACGCCGTTGCTCACTTGACAGCTGCGACGAGTTGTCATCTCTTCCATTTAACTTTAGATGTTTTTTTTTTCCCTGCGGTCTCTTAGCCTTAGCGATCTGCCGAATCTTCGTAGCCTCCCTTCTTCGTTTCAAGACTTGTCTTGACTAGAGTGGCTGGAGGTGCAATATTGTGAGCAGCTGGCTCAGCTTCCATCCTTCCTCCAGAATATGCCGATGCTGCAGGAGTGCACGGTAGAACATTGTCCCCTGATCTCAAACGAAGCATCAACGATTTATGGAAGGGGGTATGGCGAGAAGTGAATCATGCGGGTCAAAAGGGGTGGATGAGGAGGGGGGTGGATGATGAGGGGAGATGGATGGATGGTGCCCGTTGGACCGCTTCAAGCAGTTCGACTAGGGAGGGGTGGCGAGGGGGAGTGCGGCACACCGTGCCACTTCTCTGGGCTCACTCTCTCCTTAAAGGGCTGCTGTGGGGAGTCGGTGGGGGGAAGGCCGAGGGGGGACGGGGCCTGTGGGGAGGAGGGCCGTGGGATCAGGAGGGGGAGGAGGGGCAGGTTAGATGATGGGAGGACAGGGGGTGGGTTGGTGATGGGGGCGGTGCCCATGGAGGTGTTGCTGATGGTTGCTGTTGTTGGTGCAGCAGGAGCAGGTGGCGAGGGCGGTGGAGGCAGTGATGGGTCGACGGGCAGATGAGTGCTAGCAGCAGCTGCTGCTGGTGCAGGCGGGCCGGCAGTACCGCCAAACACTCAGCATGGACAAGTGGGAAGCCTTTGAGAATTCTCAAAACCATGGTTAGGCGGCATGCTTGCACACTCTTCCATCGGGGATGGCGCTTTGCTACTGCAGGCAGCGCGTGGCAGAGGACGCGGGGGACAATGAGGTGAGAAGAACGGTTGATGGAGATGCTTTAGGATGGATGAGGCTGAGGAGAGGGGGGTGGAGTCAAGCAGAGTGTGCAGAGGGAGAGGAGAGTGAGGAGAGAGAGGAGAGAAGTAAGAGAGTGAGGGAAGAGGGAGCCGAGCATAGGAAGCTAGTGTGGGTGAACAATGCTCTTGTTTTGAGACGTCTCAAAGCTAGTGTGGATGAACAATGCTCTTGTTTTGAGACGTCTCAAAGCTAGTGTGGGTGAACAATGCTCTTGCTTTGAGACGTCTCAAAGCTAGTGTGGTTGAACAATGCTCTTGTTTTGAGACGTCTCAAAGCTAGTGTGGGTGAACAATGCTCTTGTTTTGAGACGTCTCAAAGCTAGTGTGGGTGAACGATGCTCTTGCCACCTCTCATCCGTTTCTTCCCCGTCGCCTCTTTCTTTGCTTTGCTGCCCTTTTTTTGCTGTCCCTTGCACTCTTTCGTGCCCCTCCTCTGGCAGGAGTACGATATGCGACCAGACTCCATGCGTGGTTGTAACGAACATGTATGTATGTGTATGTGTATGTAAATGTATATGTATATCCGGCCCCTTTCCCCGCCCTCAAGAGTGTCACGACAAGCTCTCCGCTCTCCAGAACCCAGGGTGATGCAAGATGGGTAACATTGACAGCTCTCCGGTGTCATTTGTCGCAGCTGCCTCGACTCAACCACCCACAAGTGAACCACTGCATGCGGCTTCCCCGGGTGCCATTGTCCTTTCCCAGACTCGATTCATTGAAATGCGGCTACATTCCTGGAACATGGGAACATGTGCATGCCCATCGTTAGAAAATCTGCGGTAAACTTTCACTGGGTGCTGTGCTGTGTTGCGTTTTTGTGCAATAACCAGATAATGTGTAGCATAAGCTATCTGAAGCATTGATGTTGCCATAGGCTACAAGCATTCAGGCGAAGCTTACAAATCAAGTGAGAAGATGCAGTAGGTATATTGCATTGAAGGCATTTCAATACCACCAGAAACTAAAAGATGGATGGCAGCAAGAAACTACCTTTCACTTAGGTACGACTAGCTAATGTCTATCCCTAATTAAGCATTCCTTCCTGCACTATGCAGATTAGCATAAAAGCCATGTGCCTTTAGAAGCACACCCAGCCTATTTATTCTTAATCGCCACCATAGTAGCCATCCGTATCACTCACTGCTGCACCAACTAATCTTCCTACCGATTTATGTTTGTCAGTGCTTCAGTAATAAAACCCCAGCCACCTAGCATGAAAGTAGCCCCACCAGCTCCTCACTCCCACACCATCACCTGTCCCTGCTGCTGCATTTGCCCCTCTATGTGCATGTGTGCATGTGGGAGCATGTGTGGTTGCGTCTGCATGCTCATGTGGGACGGAGTCCCTGCCAAGCCATCCGCCAAGCCATCTGCATCTGTGTTGCAGTATGCGCTGCCATTACCCATGCCATTACCCATGCCTGTACCCATGCCATTCCCCATGTCATTTACCATGCCATTCCCCGTCTGCGTGTGGGAAGGGGGTTGCCATGCACTTGGTTGTGCATGCATCATGCCATCTCCCACATATGAGCCAAGGGATGGATCCATGCCATTCCCCATGCCATCTCCCACATACCCACTTTGAGATGGATCCATGCTATCGCCCATGCCATTCCCCATGCCATCGCCCATGCCAACCCCCATGTCATCGCCCAAGCAAGTGTTGGGAGGGACGCCCATGCCATTCCCCATGCCATCGCCCATATCATCCCCATAACCATCGCCCATGCCATCACCCATACCATTCCCCATACCATCACCCATACCATTCCCCATACCAACACCCATACCATCACCTATACCATCCCCAATACCATCAACCATACCATCACCCATACCATCCCCCATGCTACCCCCCATGCCATCACCCATGCCATCACCCATGCATGGGGATTGGTCTGCAAGGCACGCGGTGCGCAGAAGGGTGTGGGGCGACACAGGGCATCCAACGGCCAGGATGAAGCGCAGCGACGGGCAGTTGAGGCGGCAGCCATAAGCTGATGGGTGCAGTGCGGTGCAGAGGTTTACATTAAGGTGCTCCAGCTGCGGGCAATCCAGCACAAGCGTCTGGAGAGGAACAGGAATGGGAGGGTGGGAGGAATAGGAGGAGAAAAAGCACAGGGGGAGGCAGGTCAGGTTTGACTAAGAAGACTGCATGATGAATTGATTTAATTTCATTGCACAGAACATTAATAAACAGCAGCGAGCAGCGGAATGTAGAGCCCTCAGGTGCTCGCCTAACCTCCAACAGCATCGCCCTTCCAAGCAAGCCATCAACCCTCCAATCGCATCGCCCCTCGAAGCAAGCCATCACGTCTCACCTGCAGCAGCGAGCACCCCCACAGACTGAGCTTCCTCAGGCTGTTGCTGCGCAGCTCTAACCTCCGCCCCTCTCCCCCTGCTGCCACTCCTCTTGTTGTGCCTGTTGCGCTTGACGCCCCCATACCACCACCATCCCCACCCCCCATGTACCCATTGCTGCCTTCGCCCCCCACACCCCCCATTCCCCCATCCATCCCCATCCCCATCTCCCCCTGATAATCCCCCCCCACGTCCCCCCATTGTCCCCCGCCGTTCCCCCTCCACCCGTCCACCCCTCCCCCCGCTGCGCCCATGGCGCTGGTGGTGCTGGCGGCGCTGGCGAGGGTGGGGGAGGGCGAGGGGGCGCGGGGGAGCAACGACCGCCCCACGTCTAGTAGTTCCAGATTGGGAAGGCGCTGCACTAATGCCTGCACGCCACGTGGCGTGATGCCAGGGCAGGCGGCGAGGAGGAGGTGTGTGAGGGAGTGAGAGAGCGAGGCGCTGGTGGGGGGGAAGAGGGGAAGAAAAGAAAAATAGATGGAAAAGAAAGTTAGTGATTGTAGTGTGCATAAGAGAGAGGGAACGGAGATGGTTAAAGAGAAAGGCAGGGTAAATGGCAAGAGCAAGAGCAACAGCAGTGCCCCACCTGACAGCAACAGAGCCCCATCTCACGGCAAGAGAGCCTCACCTGATGGCGTGGAGGGCGGCGTCTGAGAGGTTGGGCGAGGCGGAGAGGTCGAGGTGCTGCAGATGCGGACAGGCGCGGCAGATGTCCGCCACGCCCTCTGATGCGCGCGCATGGGGGGGAACGGGCGACGGGCGCACGGGCGCACGGGGGGTATGGAGGGGACGCATGAGTGGGAATGGGTGGGAGTGGAGGGACGCGAAAGGAAGGCGAAACATGAGAGTTGAAGGAGGGAAGAATGGGGATGAGAGATGGTGTGCAAGGGCGGTAGTGGGAGGGGAAGGACGAGTGGGTGTACCATCGGTGAGCGAGAGCGAGTGCGTGATGGAGAGCGCGCAGAGCGACGACCCGTGTGCGCGCACCAGCGCCGCCACCATCTGCGCACACACGACATTGCATGAGACGGGAGAGACGGGAGGAGACGAAGGGATGAGACGCGAGGAGACGAGGAGACGAGTGGGCGAGGGGACGAGTAGTGGAGGGTTGGCAGGAGCAGGTTGCATGAGATAAGCGCACGTCCAGGAGTGCGGCGGAAGGCGCGAGGAGGACAGCACCGTCCTCGCAGCAGCGCACACTGCGAGCATGCGACGCGGCGTGTGCAACGAGAGCTGAAAGCGCGTACCGAATCGGTGGTGTAGGGCGACGCGATGTGCAGGCGCTCGAGAGGCGCCGCGAGGCTCGCCACGTGGCCGATCACCGCCTCCGCGTGCGCGGGGTCTCCGCTCATCTGCGCGCTCGCGTGCGCGTGCGTCTGGGAGCACGTGCGCGCCGGCGGAGCGGGTGAGGGCGGAGCGGGCGCGGGGAGGAGGGAGAGCGAGAGGCGCTGCATCGCGGGGCACGCGAGGGAGAGGCGCGACAGGCGCGCGCAGGCGGAGAGTGTCAGCGCGGTCAAGCTTGGGGGGGGGGGAACGGGGGGAAGAGGAGGGGTGAGGTTGGGAGAGAGGGAGGAGAGGAGTGTGAGCTGGGGGAGGAGGAGCGCCAGTTGAAACCGTAGGAAAATACATGAAAACGGGAGGGAACTGCAAAACCATTTGGACAGTAGCATGATGGTGTGGCAGCGAGTGGACTAGTGAGGGGTGGTTCGAGCAGTCCGCCCCACATGGCACGGCATGGGATGGCATGGTATGGCGAGTAGTGCGACTGCGCCGGGCAACTGCGACGGGCGACGGGATGCTTACGACTGCGAGGTGACGGTGAGCGATGGCAGTGCGATGCATCCGTCCATGTCCACGGCGCGCAGCGACGCGCACCCGTGCAGCAGCGCCGCCATGCCGTTGCTGGAGAGGGAGAGACGGAAGGGAAGAGGTTAAGTCAGGGAGCCAGCGCTCGGAGACAGCATGTGGTCGTCATGCGAAAGCTATGAAGATTCCGCTCCGTGGAAAGTCACGTGGTCGTCATTACTCCGCAACGTGGTGTCAGACAGCCAACTCACTCCGTGACGTGGCATGCGACGTTGGGCGCCGTGCGAATGACGAGCGACTCCAAATTTGGCTGCTCGGCGGCTATGTGATGCAGTAGGCGATCGTCCACGCATCTGGCGACACGAGAGCAAAAAAAAAAAAAAAAAAAAAGGGTAACCAGCATAGGAGACGAGAGAAGTCGAGAGAACAGCACAACAACATCGAGACAAGACGAGAGGCGAGTCGCGACGAGAGCAGGTCGTACCTGGCGGCTTGCAGCGAGAGGTGCACGAGGCGCGGGCAGCGGCGCAGCATGAAGGGCACGTAGACGAGCGCGTCCGTCGCGAGCGACGGCGTCGCGTCGAGCGACAGCGCCGCCGCCTCCACGTTGCCCCAGATCTCCGCCGCCAGGCGCCGCCACCGCCGACAGCAGCTGCTCGCGCTTAGTAGGTCGCGCGGAGGCAGCTGGAAAAGGGGAGGGGCAAGGGGGAGGAGGGAGACACGGGGAATTGGGATGAGCGAAGAAAGGCGCGGGGGGCGGCTGAAGTCTTGCCATCGGACATGGCGAAAATTTAACTACTTAGGCGAATTCGATCAACAAGTACCTTAGCGAGGATGTTGAGCATGCACATGTCCTGGGGACTCCTCTGCACCGCCGGCCGCACGGAACCTGCCGCTGCCGGCCCGCTCGCCCTGCACGACGCACGAGTGCGCGACGTCAGAACGTGAGAAACAAGACGGCAGGCGAGCATACAGCCAGGGAATGCAGCGGCAAGCAGTCCCGAGATGACTTGCGCTGACTCGAGCTGACTCGAGGAAGATTGAGAGTGGACATAACGCGACCAGAAGCAGCTTACTCACCCGGGGGGACCAGGGCGGAGGCTTGAGTGGGAGAGCGGCGGAAGGCTGTGCGGGGACGCGCAGTGGGGCGCCATTCTCGAGGTGATGGCGCCGTGCGCGTTGCCGTGCACGTGGGTGTGCGCGGCGGGGAAGGAGAAGTTAGAGTCTGACAAGCCGCTGCGGCTGGTGGATGGGAGGGACGGGAGCAGAGGCCGAGGGCGGGGAGAGAGCGGTCATGAAGACGGGAAGAGCATAGCCGTAAGATTGATTCCAATAATGGCATTCGGCGCTGAGTCTCTGCCTGAGGTGGACTATATGAGAGTGGAACGGACATGGACATGCGACAAAACGGCAAATTGTCATGCTGACATTATGGAGTCGCCGACAAAAAAAAACGGCTTTGGAGTTCGTCATGGACGGATGCCATGGCGTGTGCCTAATCAGCAACGCACGCGCTGCTTTGCTCTAGTACCTGGGGAGGCTGCGGCACGATGCGGTGAGCGCGGGCGCGGTGAGGCTTATATGCGCGATCGTCCCGCCGTGGCATGCGGAGGAGCGTCCGCCATCCGCAGTGTACGCGTTGGCGGAGTCCGCGGGGCCGGTGGAGGCGTCCGGGAGGCGCAGCGGCTGCATGTTCCCCATGCTGCAAGACGCGGGCTTGCGCATGTCCGCGCGGGTGATTCCGCTGGGCGAATCGAATCCGCAGTCGCGGGTGTTGCCGCACGCGCCGCCGCACGATGGGTCGCCGCCGACGGAAGAAGAGGGGTTAGGCGGATGGGAGTGGTTCGCGTGGTGCGGATTGGATTGACATGGACGACGGGCGTACGGCGGTGCGGGAGACGGTGACGTCAGCGGGCACACGTGGCCTTTCTTTGGCTGGCCGCAGCGACGACAGCGGTACGAGCCGCGTAACCTCTTAGGAGTCGGCTCGAGCGCGCTAGATGTTTCCCGCTGTCGATCCTCCTGCCACTGCTGCCATCGGTCGTTGCTCTCGTTGTCCACGTCAGCACTAGCGTGTGTCCCGCGAACGTCCATGGATTCTGACTGCGATGCGGCTGGGCCAAGCGACGCGGGGTGGAGAGGACTAAGAGCGTCGCTATGGCCCGCTCCCGGCGGGCGCGGAGCGTTGCAGGCGGACTGTGCTATGGACGGAACGGGGAGCGTAATCGGGCTGGCGATACTAGGACCCATCACCTGAATTGCCAACGTGGCGCCTTATGAGAGCTACTGGTTACGAGACTGGAAATGCAGCCGCTGCTTGACCAGCGGCACTACGTGGAAATTTGCAAGCCGGACTGCTTGCTGTTCGAGCTATTACTGGAAGGAAAGTCGCAAAAGCAAATGGTTATTGCTGGATGTCGTGCATTTCTAATATCATCTGACAAATGGTGGTTCCGTTGACGGAGCGATGTTACTCCTGCGACAATACTCCTCGGAGGAGATAAGGTCCAAGATTGCGTATTCGACTGTATCCCACATGTAGCACAAAGCATGCCTGCATTGGAGGAGCTGCCAAGCTGCGTGGTCCTGACCATGGCTCCTCTGGAAGCACCATACGGTCTGCTCCAAGGCCACGACGCCACACAGCACGCCACCACCAGCAGCAGTCGCACTGCGAATTCTCGAAGCATCAAAAGTCGACGGCGACAGCGCAAGCGACGCGCTCCGTTGTTCGCCTCTGCGGGTTCTGTCTGAGCCCAAACCCAACTGCCTGTGCTGCAGAGTCCTGCCTGCCTGTCCCTCGAAACTGTCTCGCCTGATGTTGTTGTCGATGGGCAACCATCCGCGCATCAAGCCGTTCTGATCGCTTGCGCCCATGGCTCTGCATCCTTCAATCCCCGCTGTTCTGTCCCCCGCTGCCCCTAATTGGTCCGCCAAACTGGGGCTTCTGCGGAGATTTGAACCAATCATGAGAGGAATGTGGGGGGCAGGCGGAGGAGATTAGGGGGATATGGTCTCTGGAGCTACACACATCCGGGTCGCGCTGAGGGGGAAGTGACGAGCCGCGACCAGCCCAGGGGGAAGCGATGTTCGAATTGCTCTGGCGACAGACACTCACAGCACCAGCGAGTCGCGGCCATTTTCATTGGCATAGGGTTCGGGGATGCCACCGTGGCACTGTCAGATCGAGTTGCCGGTTTGGCGGGGTTTGTTGAAAATTTGAGGGGCGAAATCCTAGAGCGACACGGAAGGTCAAAGTGAAGTGAAAAGTGAGTGTGCTCAATTTGAATGTGGTGAGTAAATTGCTGATCAGTGGTCAATAAACAGGGTCGTACCGATATTGACCACCAGAACATAAGTCGCAATTATCCAACACATACAGCATATAATACATCACAATTTCCTGCATTTCCTAATTAAGGTGGCTTCGGATTTACAAGCAAACTATTTTTTACGCAGCAATTGTTGAAAAACCCCAAAGTGCTCATGTTGGAACGTACGATTCCAACATGAGCCTTGTTGGAGATGGGCTCATTACATCAACAAGGAGGTACGTAAACTTCCAAGCTCCACCATCATCTTTGTCCTTGAACATCTCAGCATGCACAAGCCCTGTGCCCCCTGTACCTCGGATGTGGAATTGAACCTGCCACCAATCAGCAGACAGAAGAGGCGGCAGGACAACGGAACACAGTGAGACAAATACACCATACTGAGTGTCAAATTCTGTGATAAAAACAAGGGAATGCTCATGGATGCGTGGTGGGGTTGACGGGGAAGAGGGGCAGCATGCGAGGTGCACCTGGATCCGCTCCACCCCTTCCTCATCCGTCCACACGCGGTGGCTGATCCGCTGCCGTGCCGCGCGGTTCCGGCTCTCCTGGCCGTACCCCGTGATGGGCGACCCCAGCCGCGATATCACCTGCCGCATATGGCGAGGCAAGGTTGGTTCGATCCCATGGCGTGCATGTGGAGCATGAGAAAGAGTGTATGTGGGCAGCAGAAGCCCAGCAGGAGTGGGTATGAGACAAACAGCTGAGGCAGGTGCTATGAGGTGGGAAGGCATCAATCAATAAGTGCAGATTACGAAGGTAAGCGAAGCTGTGTGATTGGGCACAGAAAGATGTGGGGCACCTGAGGGTCGTTCTGCACGCGCTGAAGTGCCTTGTTGAAGACTTTGTACCTGCAGCACGCACGACGAGAAACCATCACACGAGATGCAAATCCATCAATCCAGAGCATGAACAAGCCGCATGCATGCATAGAGGTACCCACCCATGTTCACCATGCAGAGATTTGTGCATCAACCCCCTCATAGGTATGTTCGCCCTCTTTCTCCTACCCCCCCACTGCACCCCCCCCTCCCTGCCCGCAAATACGTGCTTCTGCAATAAAACCCGCCCCAACCCCAGTACCCCTCCTCCCCCCTCCCCTCCCCATCCCTTCCCCCCCACAGCCAAGCACGCACTCCTTGGGCTCCAGCAGCAGCTCCTTCACCACAAAAAACGTGCTTCTGCAGTAACCCCCCCCCCCAAAACCCAGTCCCCCCCCCCTCCCCTCACCCTTCCCCTCTTCCTCGCACCACCCACACCCCCCCCACAGCCCAGCACGCACTCCTTGGGCTCCAGAAGAAGCTCCTTGACGACAAAATACGCCGCCCCGGCCGCCACAGCCAGCGCAGCGAGGATGACGATCGAGTAGGACGCGCCCTCGGCAGCGGAGACGGGCCGTTCGGGGATCTTGTCCGTGATGCTGCTGAACACGTCCTCCTCCTCCTGCCGTACCACCTCCCGCCTCCCACTGCCACTGCCGTCCTTGTTGCTGCTGCCCTGTGTGCTGCTGGCGTACCACCGATGCTGCTGCAGGAAAGTATGGGGGGGGGGGAGAGGGTGGGTGGGTGGTGGGTACTGCTACTGCCACTGCTGACCTTGCTGCTGCTGCTGCCGCCCTGTGTGGTGTACCACGGATGCTGCTGCAGGGGAAGCATAGGGAGTTGGATGCAAGAGGCATAGTGGGGCATATCATGCATGGTCGGGCAAGCCTGGACTTGTCCCCTGGGATATAACATTCCAACCTACCTCCTACCTGATTCAACACCTACCATGACACCAAAACCCACCCCATCCCACCCCACCTCGACCCACCCCACCCGCCACACCTCACCTGCTGGATTCCAGTTGCTGCTTCCACTGGTCGCAGCACCAACGGCTGCATGCCACGTGGCAGGCGGAGAAGCAGCGCGGCGCTCAGCTGCTGTGGCTGCGCGCACGAGTGAAAGGCAGCAGCAGAGTGACTGTGACTCGTGCGTCCCCCACCCACAACCTGCTGCATCCAAGGCAATCCATTCAGGGGCTGCCGAGGCTGTGCCCCCCATGGTTTACAGAGCAGCGCGTGGGCGGGGGACGGCAGAAGAGCATGGGGGAGTAGGGATGGCTGGGGGGTGCCCTCTAGGGATCCCAGGGATCGCAGGCCAGCGGGCGCGGATGCTTGCAGCTGTAGATGCACAGCAATGGCCTCCAATGGTTGTAAGAACGCTGCTGCTGCTGCTGCTCCGCTTGCTGCTCCGCATGATGCTCCGCCTGCTGCTCCGCCTGCTGCTGCTGCATTCCCCACTGCGCCAGGGGCTGCCACGCCATGCGCGCGGCTAGAAGCTAACGCGTCCGACGCAACCGTGAGCTGCCACGTGGCAGAGAGCAGCGAATCCCGTGACTTGGTAGCGGCGCACGCCCGCCTCGTGCGGCCCAGCATTCCCCTCAGCTGCTGCGTGCGTGACGCCATGAAGCCGAGTCCCTGGCGTAGGGGAAGGGGAGAAGAAAACACCACCCTCATCTCCTGGACATTCCTCAAACATACTTCGAGCTTTTTTTTTTCTTTCGCGAACGGATCTCGCCGAATGCCCTACCCCGTTGTCGCACGTCCTAGATCTGTCCCGATATCCGACTCCCGCGACGTTCTATCGCCAACTCGCCAATTTTTGCCGAATATAGCCGACTGGGCACGGGCACGGACTATGGCTGACCTACAGATACTCTCGAGTAGTACGCGAGCACTGGCAGCGAGATTACCTGCACGAGCACAATCTGTCCGCGGCCGGAGAGCGCTCGCAGAATCACCTCTCCGCACTCGCCGTTCCGCACGCCAGGTCCCAAGAGCACGCCACAAACGCGCGGAGTTGGCAAAACAAACCTGAAGGCACAGCCCGCCAAGAGGAAGAATTTGCTGTACGCGTTAGACACGAAATTCAGCTGGGAGAGGATTCTGGTTGCTGGGGGTTTATGATAGCAAGTTGAGCTTGAAGCTGTAAATCATAATCCGAAGAATTTTTAGTGCCTTTTTGGAATCGGCTGTATATTTCTTTGAAGCCCTCTCTAGTGAAGATAGGACAGGTGCTGCAGTCACCACCATCCACGTCCATTCTCCCCACAAAAGCGCAAGCAGAAGATTTGGCGCCAATTTTGCAACTTCATCTATTGGCTCACAGAACCCTACCCTGACGTGCCGTCACCGTGACGACATCACACGAGGGGAGGGATGTGGTGGCGTGATGAAAGCAGGAAATCGAATTTCGAAACGGAAGTGACGGCTAGGACAGCTTCGCCGAATCTCTATTGCTGTTCTTCGTTGTCCCACCTTTTCAGTCGACGCCGTTGACGAGTTCTTCCACCTTCGTTATCTCCTAGGCGGTCAATTGAGACGTCGCCGCGATGTGCGGACGCGCGCGTTGCACGCTGTCGCCAGACGCCGTCACGCGCGGGACCGGCGCGCGGCCCGATTGGCGCGACCAGCATCTGTGCGTGCTCCGCGCCTCTTACCTCCATCGCCTCGTTTTCAAGCAACATGCACCCCTTCCCCTTATATTTCCTGAATCTCGATCGTCCACCCGGAAGCAGGTGCACCGCGCTGCCTGCATACCTCCTTATTCTCTGCTCGTCCCGTTTACCACCGGCCGTCGTCGCTCACGTCGTTTCGTTCTTGCGTCGCGCGTTGTTTCGTTCGCTTATTCAGCGCTCCGCGCGGCTCATGCGCCATCTCACGCAACTCATAGCATGTGCCTTTTGAGACGTCTCAAAACTCATAGCATGTGCGCACCTCTGCGCCCGCGCGTGTCTGTGCTGCGCGCCCCTTCAGGTTCCGCCCATCCTTCAACGTCGCGCCCGGCACCTTTCTGCCCGTCGTCCGCGCCGCCGCTTCCGCCTCCCCGTCCGCCTCCCCGCACGCTGCTTCCGCTTCCGCCAAGCTGGCCCCTGCGGAAGCGGAAGGAGCTGCGGAGAGCTGCGCGGAGGCGGAAGAGGCGGACGAGGAAGGACGCGCGCAGGAGGAGGTTGTAGGGGAGAGGGGGAAGGCAGGAGAAGCGGAGCAGGAAGAGCAGGCGGAGGAAGAGCGGGGGGAGCAGGCGGAGGGCGAGCGGAAGGTGCAGGCGGAGGGGGAATGGCAGAAGCAGGCGGAGGGGGAGCGGGGGGAGCAGGCAGGGGAAGAGCGGGAGGTGCAGGTGATGAAGTGGGGGCTGGTGCCGTCGTTCTGCAGCAAGACACAGCCGCCCGACCACTTCCGCATGGTGTGATGGTGGTGCGGGTGGGGGAGATGAGGGTGGTTGCGCGTGGTTGGGGTGATTATGAATTTTGCAATGGGGATGGTGGTCAATGCACGTAACGAGGTGCCTCACAGTGATTCACTCGCTTCATGCGCCATTTGTCCTTCTTCCTCCAAGTCCTCTCTTTCTATGTCCTAGTTCCCCTCTTCCATGCATCCCCTCCTTTCTGGTCTTGGGACATGTTCTCAGCGAGCAGCAAACTTATCTCAGCGAGCAGCAAACTTATTCAGGCTTAAAGCAAAAGATAGACAGTAAAAACCCTTCTGTAAAACTTAGATCTCAACAATCCGAGCTCAAGAACTTCAGCAGTAGAGTAAAACAAACATGTTTCGGCCGTTAAGGGGCTACCCTAGCAGGCCTTCATCAGTGCTAATGAAAGAAACAGAGCTAAGCTACGCTTCAAGAAGAAACGAAGCCTCAGAAAAACTGATCTCTATGTTATCTACACCAGGTCAGCCCGAAATACGGGGACCAGTACATGTCACCCTTGAAAATTTCTCAGGTGGCCACGTCCTCAATCCTTGGAGCGTCGTCGTTGAAGTTCGAATTCGCATCCTCGCCAGGCAGCAACTGTGGAAGTCGCGCGCGTACCAGTAACCTGTTAAGGTTACAACCAATTTGCCATGCAACAAAAATCCTCTCCACATATAATCCGCGTGTAGTGAGTCGATTTTTGAGTCGACTCAAAAATAGTTCCCCTCTTCCATGCATCCCCTCCTTTCCGCAGTCTCCCCTCTCTGTCCTTCCCCTCCGCTCCCCCACCCGCGACAACCTTTCCCCCTCCCCCTCCCCCCAGTTCAATGCGCGCTGTGAGTCGCTGCACGCCAAGCCGTCCTTCCGCCGCCTGCTGCCCTCGCAACGCTGCGTTGTGCTGCTGGAGGGGTGAGACACAGGGGTGGGAGGGGTGAGGAGGGGTGAAATGAGATGTAAAGGGGTGAGTCGCTGCACGCCAAGCCGTCCTTCCGCCGCCTGCTGCCCTCCCAGCGCTGCGTCGTGCTGCTGGAGGGGTGAGAGACAGGGGTGGGAGTGGTGAAAATGGGTGAGAGGGGTTGGCAGGGGTTGAGAAGGGTGAGAGAGTGGGGTGGGGGGGGTGAGAGGGGTGAGTGCGAGTGGGGTAGGTGGATACTGTCTGTGCTCGTTTTGATGCTCTGCTCGTGCGTGCCAGCTCGCTGTCCTGCTGCTGTCGTTTTGCCATGCATTCGTGCTTCAATGCTCACGATGCCAGATTCTACGAGTGGAAGAAGGAAGGTTCCAAGAAGCAGCCGTTCTACATCCACATGAGCGATGGCAGGCCGGTGGTGATGGCTGGGCTGTTTGACTGCTGGCGCAACGCGGAGGGTGAGAGGGGGAGGGGGGAGGGGGAGTGACGAGCATGGTGAGTGGGGAAGGGGGGGGGGAGAAGGCAAGCACGGTGGTGGGTGGAGCCTGTTTGATTTCAGGAGCGGTTGGGGGGGGAACGCGGAGGCACAAGTGTGCGTGTGAGAGGCGAGAGGACGGCATCTCCCTTGAATGGTCCTTCGTAATCAGAGACACAATGCATACAAGCATTGAGGGTGGGGCAAGCATGCATGATTGAGGGTGGGGCAAGCATGCATGATTGAGGGTGGGGCAAGCATGCATGATTGAGGGTGGGGCAAGCATGCATGGTTGAGGGTGGGGCAAGCATGCATGGTTGAGGGTGGGGCAAGCATGCATGATTGAGGGTGGGGCAAGCATGCATGATTGAGGGTGGGGCAAGCATGCATGATTGAGGGTGGGGCAAGCATGCATGATTGAGGGTGGGGCAAGCATGCATGATTGAGGGTGGGGCAAGCATGCATGATTGAGGGTGGGGCAAGCATGCATGATTGAGGGTGGGGCAAGCATGCATGATTGAGGGTGGGGCAAGCATGCATGATTGAGGGTGGGGCAAGCATGCATGATTGAGGGTGGGGCAAGCATCTCCCTTTGGCGATGGCAATGCTCCTAGTTGACGTGACGTTTATTCTTCCACTCCCCTACTCTCTATCTCTGCATTTCCGTGTCTCCCCTCCCCACTCCCCCAACACTCCATCTGCGGTGCTTCCTCATGTCTTGCTTGCGGCCACGCCAGGAGACCGACTGTTCACCTTCACGATAGTCACAACAGCAGCATCACAGCGCCTGCAGTGGTTGCATGGTGACACCCCCATCCCACCCACCATTGCCCTCCAACTTTCGCAGTCCACATTCGTCTTGTCAAATGCAGCCGTCCTCTCAATTCCTCCACCAGCGAGCACTCATCCAAAGCCTTTTTCCCCTCCTCTCGCTGCCTTCCTTCCGTGCCGAGTCCTGTTGTTGTGCCTCACATTCACTCTCTCAGCTTCGCCCTCGCCCTTTGCTGTGCACTGCTGCTCACCCCTCCCCCCTCTCCCTCCCCTTCCCATCAGACCGCATGCCTGCCATCCTCTCATCACACCCCTCCCATTGCATCCCATTGCGCCGCATCCACTCTTCACGCGTCACCCTTTGCTGTGCATTGCTCACCCGACCCCCTTCCTCCCTCCCCGCCGTCTCTTCCTTCTTCACCCCATCAGACCGCATGCCTGCCATCCTGCCATCGCAGCACCACATTGCCGCATGGCTGCACGGCAAGCTCTCAGGGCCAGACGCCATCGCCCACCTCTGCTCGCCCTACAACCACCCCGACCTGGTCCGTCCCACCTTCCTGTTCGCTCCCCTGCCCCATCTTTCTCCTCCTGCCTTTCTGCCTGTTACGCTTCCTCCCACACTTATCTTGTCTTGGTATTTACTATCGCGCAGCCACCCACCCCCCTCCCTTCGGCCCATCCTCTGTCCACGGCAGGTGTGGCATGCAGTGACACCTGAGATAGGCAAGCCGTCCTTCAACGGCCCGCAGTGTGTGCAGCCGGTGAGTTATACGCTCACATGCACATTGGGGCATTGGGGTGAGGGGATAAGAAGGGGGGCTTTACCTGGACTGGTTGCGTGGGTGTGCAGAGAGCAAGCAGACGGCAGGCAGGCGTTGCTCCAGTAAAACCACCCTTTGCTTTTCTCTATCTGCGCTTGTTTGTCCTTACTTGATGCACCCCTTTTGTTGCCCACCCCCCACTGCCCACCGCTCTCCAGATTGCATTGAAGCCGGCGCTCTCATCCACCCCAATCACTCAGCTCTTTGCCCGCAAGAGACAAAAAACGCCACCCACTGATGCGGTGGGCACAGGAGGGGTGGACAAACAGGAAGCAGAGGCAGGAGGAGGTGCATTGGAAGAAGGGCACGGAGTGAAGGGCAAGGAGGGGGGCAGTGGAGAGGAGGAGGTACAGCTGAGTGCGGTGCAGGAAGCACCAGTGGAGGGTAGGGCAGGGGAGGATGAGGGTGATGGGGCGAGTGAGGAGCAAGCCAAGGGTGATGGGGCGAGTGAGGAGCAAGCCAAGGGTGATGGGGCGAGTGAGGAGCAAGCCAAGGGTGATGGGGCGAGTGAGGAGCAAGCCAAGGGTGATTCCAGTGGCAGTGGCAATGAGACACAAGAGGGTGCTGGTGAGCAATGCAGTGAGAGAGGCGCGGTTGAAGAGCTGGTACCTGTGACCCCTCTTCCTCAGGATATGCGTGTCCACACATCCCAGTCTTCCTCACAGTCCGAGCAGCATCCACCAGCTCCTGCGTCTGCTCCCCCTGTTGCTGCGATCGTCACTTCTTCCAAGCTGGGATCTCCTGTGCCGACAAAACGACATGCTAAAGGATCGAAGGGTTCGAGAATGGCGCCTAAGCGTAGAAAAGCGGAATCTGAGGTGGTTGAAGCTGGCAACCAGATGTCGATCAAACGTTTTTTCAAGGTCCCATAATTTTGAGAGGGCTGTTCGCTTATATGTTAAGAGTGTAATTATTTGTGTACACAAACAGTCCATATTTGAGTTGTGCTACACCGGTGGCACGTTTATCAGATCTATCAATGCCACACTTAGGCGCAACAGACTGGTCGTATGGCAGTTCGTGCCTCCCCGCGTCTGACACGTGTCAGGCCGCGCCACAACTCTCAAGCCTGCCAGCCTTCCATCATCCCACCTCGCGTTGCGCGGTAGGCTCCTAGATTCCATCGGTCGAGGTTGCGGAGCCGAGTCTAGAAAACTGCATGGTGCGTGCTAGCACAGTCAGCAGCTTATACGCGGTACGAAGTTAGGAGCAAATGACACATCTCCAGCGGCAGCGATGACAGGAGCTTGTTTGAGCATTCTGAGTCTGAATCCGTGACGGCCGATTGTAAGGCTAGATGTTCACGAATACCTCGCAATAAGCGTGCATTGTTTTCCTCGCAAGTCCTGTTGTAATTCTTCCGCTCGTAGCACGTCACACGCTACGGCTAGCGCAATGCACGACCGCGTCGGAATGACACTGTCCGTGAGTCGCGCTCCATGCATAGGACCATGCGGCCTGCTCGCACCGCGCCGTCGATTGCGGCAAGCAGTATGGGATCCGCTCCAGCCACGAGGGACCGCGCCGCGACTAGAAAACGGCTCGCAGCCGCATTGGAACGCACAACAGCAGTCTGCCGTAGCGGCGTCGTCGCTCCGCGATAATCGGAAGCGTAATGCGAGTAGATTAAGTTCAGGAAGCCGAACGCGCGGAGTTAATTTCCCCTCGCTCTTTTGTCCATCGTTTCCTCAACCGTCGGTATCTCCGCGGCTCGATGCCACGTGTCAAGCCAGGGCGAGCCCGGTCGTGAAAGCGACGACGGCATCGGAGGGCGAATCGAGCGAGAGACGAACAGACGCGGGCCTTGCGGGGGAACGACCCGCGCAGACCGCGCGCGGGGACGGATCGGTGCGGAGGGCAGCAGCGGAATCGAGAGAGACGGGCGCAGAGGAGATATTGAAAGAGTTTAGTGACGACGAGAGGGCAACGCGGGAGCGATCGGCGGCGGAGGAGGAAGCAGGTTTGGAGGTGGAAGAGGAGGAGGAGGACAGCTTTCTTGCGCACTGGTCGTGGGCGGGGTGGGTGCGCGACGTCGTCGAGCTGCGCTTCCTCGAAGATGAGACCGCCCTCCGCCGCCCCATGCCGCCTCTCCCGCCCAGATACGCCGGTGCGCGCGCACTCGCCCCACTAACCCGCGGCCACTCGCTCCCATTGCTATAGCAGAGTAGCACATCCCGCTTCCGCTCTTCCAAATCTCACGACCTCCGCGTCTGCCTCAATCCCTCTATCCTCTCCCCCGCCCCCCGCCCCTCCCCCCTCCGCCCATCGCCGTGTGTCCCGCGCAGCGTCCGCTAGAGCGAGCGCGCGCGGGATACTGGCGGGGGACGCGGGGTACGTGCGCGCGCTGGGGGAGGTGGCGCGGTGGTGGGCGGAGAGCTGGCGGGTTCAGCTGCAGTACGAGTACGACCCTGCTGACGTGGCACACTACTTCAACCGCCGCCCGCACATCGTGCTGCTGCGCACGCTCAAGGTGCGCCCGTGGGCATGCGCATGGCTTGTGTAGCTGCTTCGCTCAATGCAAGGTGCGCCCATAAATATGGGTGCGGCTCAGCTACCTGCTGCGCTCAAGCTGTAACTATGTGTGCCCCACACTTCCTCTCGCTGCCCCCCGCTTCCCCTTCTCACCCCCACTGTGCCTCACTGCCCCACACTCTTCCTCACTGTCTCCACTCCACTCACACCCACCCTCTACACAGATATCAGTGCTGCTGGCAGCGACGTGGGTGCAGGTGGCGAGGGGCACGGGCGCCATCAAGTGTGCTGCTCACCTGCACTGCCACACTTCCCACTACCCCCCACTGCCTTCCACTAACCGTCACCCACACAGATCTCGGTGCTTCTGGCAGCGACGTGGGTGCAGGTGGCTCGGGACACGGGCGCCATAAGGGCGAGGGAGGCGGGGGGAGTGAGTGCGGGGGACGAGCGCATCGCAGCCATAAGGCAGCACAGCGCGCTCAAACTCAAGCGCACGCTGCTGCGCCTTGGCCCCACCTTCATCAAAGGTAGGGTACGCCCATCTTATGGCCGCGCCCATGCCTTCTGCCTGCGTGCATGGCTTGTGGCAGCAGTGTTCCCTGTCGCATGCTCCAGAGTTTGAGTAACAACCCTCTCCACTCGCTTTTCTGCATCCCATCGTCTACCACTCCATCGCCCCTCTCCCAAACCTCTCCGTTGCCCCTTATCCCTTCATCTCCTCCTCCGGCCCCTCTTTCCCTCTCCCCATTTCCTCCCGCTCCCCAGTGGCGCAGTCGCTGTCAGCGCGGCCGGACGTGGTGGGGCCCGACACTGCCAAGGTGAGCACCAGGGGCGCTCCTGAGAGAGGGAAGGAGGGAGGGAGGAAAGGAGGGAGGGAACGAGGGAGAGGTGTAACTGGGAAGAGGGAAAAGGTCATGCCTGGGGTCCACGTTCCTACAGAGGCGAATGCTTTCAGTGTGAAGGCTTGGGTTTCTGTCTCTCGTTTGACCCCAACCCCCTTTCTCTGCGCCGCCTGATCCCTTCCCTGGCCTCACATCTTTGAGTTGCGCTGAACTCCCCACTTCCCTCCCTCCCGCTCCTCCTCTTCCCCCCCCGTCTACCCCACTCCCTCCCGTCCCGTCTAATCCCCTTAACCCCCGCGATCTCCTACTTTTCCTCCCCCTTCATCTCCCCGCCCAACCCCACCAGGTGCTAGCAGAGCTGCAGGACCGTCTACCAGCGTTTCCCTCGGAGGACGCCATGGCCATGATCGAGAGGGAGCTGGGTGGGCTGTGGTTCCTTCCTTCCTGCCACTCCGGTTCTCACATGTTTGTGTTTGTGCCTAAACCCCCCTCCCTTCCCACCACGGTCCCACCTTCCCCACCAGGTATTGGCGGAGCTACAGGACCGTCTGCCAGCGTTCCCCTCGGAGGATGCCATGGCCGTCATCGAGAGGGAGCTGGGCCGCCCCGCTGCCACTCTCTTCCCGCTGCTCTCACCCACGCCCGTCGCTGCTGCCTCGTTCGGCCAGGTGAGAGTTTTAGAGCAAGGGAGTGTGGGTTTTGGGGTTCAGTACATGCAAGGGAGTGTGGGTTTGGGGTTCAGTACATGCAAGGGAGTGTGGGTTTGGGGTTCAGTAGATGCAAGGGAGTGTGGGTTTGGGGTTCAGTACATGCAAGGGAGTGTGGGTTTGGGGTTCAGTACATGCAAGGGAGTGTGGGTTTGGGGTTCAGTAGATGCAAGGGAGTGTGGGTTTGGGGTTCAGTAGATGCAAGGGAGTGTGGGTTTGGAGTTCAGTACATGCAAGGGAGTATGGGTTTGGGGTTCAGTACATGCAAGGGAGTGTGGGTTTGGGGTTCAGTACATGCAAGGGAGTGTGGGTTTGGGGTTCAGTAGATGCAAGGGAGTGTGGGTTTGGGGTTCAGTACATGCAAGGGAGTGTGGGTTTGGGGTTCAGTACATGCAAGGGAGTGTGGGTTTGGGGTTCAGTACATGCAAGGGAGTGTGGGTTTGGGGTTCAGTACATGCAAGGGAGTGTGGGTTTGGGGTTCAGCACATGCAAGGGAGTGTGGGTTTGGGGTTCAGTACATGCAAGGGAGTGTGGGTTTGGGGTTCAGTACATGCAAGGGAGTGTGAGTATGCTCTCTCCCCTGCTCTCTCCCCTGCTCTCTCCCCTGCTCTCTCCCCTGCTCTCTCCCCTGCTCTCTCCCCTGCTCTCTCCCCTGCTCTCTCCCCTGCTCTCTCCCCTGCTCTCTCCCCTGCTCTCTCCCCTGCTCTCTCCCCTGCTCTCGCCCCTGCTCTCGCCCCTGCTCTCTCCCCTGCTCTCTCCCCTGCTCTCTCCCCTGCTCTCTCCCCTGCTCTCTCCCCTGCTCTCGCCCCTGCTCTCGCCCATGCCCATTGCTGCGTGCGTGAGTATCACCTATCCAACCACATTTGCCTGCATGTGCCTGTCAAGTCAAATCATGTGTGCATGCTGCATGCACATTTGCCTGCTCGTTCGAACCCCACCCACCACAGGTGTACAAGGGGCGCACGCGGGACGGCATGCGAGTGGCGGTGAAGGTGCAGCGGCCCAGAGTGCTCTTCCTCGTCGCCAGAGACATCCACATCCTGCGCATGCTGGTCAGCCCTGCCCATCCCCCTCTGCCCTCCACGTGCTCGTGAGATATCCGCATGCTCATGAGCTTTGTTCCCTTATGCATGTTCCCAACTACATTTGCTCACCTGTAACACCTATAGCCAGTCCTCACCTCGCTCACCCTGCCCACCCGTACTCCACTTGTCCTCCCTTTGTCTTCTCCCCGTTCTTCCCCCAGCTGCGGGCAGTGAGGCGGGTGGCGGGAATGAACACGGACCTGGCAGCATTGGCGGACGAGTTTGGGAGGGGGCTGTATGGCGAGCTGGACTATCGTCTAGAGGCCAACAACGCCACTCTCTTTGCTGTCCGTGCCATGCTGCTCTCGTTCGTGCTAGCGTGTCTATGCGCCTTGTGTGCTTGCACACTTGCCCTTCACCTAGCCCATGCATCCGCTGCAGCATGCTTGTGTTATGCTTGCCCTTCGCACGCAGGCATGCATGCATCCACCACCTCTGTATGGGTGCCTGCCTGCATCCCGTCATCACCCCTCTACCCTCTCTGCTCCGCGCCCTATCCTCCGCTGCCCCTCCCCCCTCCCCCCCTCCCCCCTCCCCCCTCCCCACCCCACCCGAAAGCCCATGCTCACCTCCCCGGCATAACAGTGCCAGCCATCCGCTCAGACCTGACCTCGCGGCGAGTGCTGACGATGGAGTGGGTGGAGGGCGAGCGCACGAGCGACCTGCTCGCCCAGGCCGAACCAAGTGCCACTCCCTTCACTCCTCTACCCCCTATAACCCCTCTGCCCCGTGTCTCCTCCGCCTGCCACTGCTGCCCCGACCCCTCCAGAAAGCCCACGCACACCTACCAGGGATAACAGTGCCCGCCATCCGCTCAGATCTCACATCGAGGCGGGTGCTGACGATGGAGTGGGTGGATGGCGAGCGCACGAGCGACCTGCTCGCCCAGGCTCAGGGCGTGCTGGGGGCCGCTGGTGGGGAGGAGGCACGGCAGCGCGCCAAGCAGAAGCTGCTGCGCATGGTGGGGGTGGGGGTGGGGGTGGGGGTGGGGGCGGGGGTGGGGAAGAGGGTTGGAGAATGGTAAGGGGGCTGGGAGGGGTAGTGGGAGAGTGGGGGGGTGTTGAATTGCTCGCCTCTACAGCACATTCTACATGCTGCCTGACCATCATTATCATTGCCACTCCCCTTGTCACCTCTCCTCCTCCCCTCTCTGCCAGGTGGGCATAGGCGTGGAGTCATCGTTGGAGCAGCTGCTGGTGACGGGAGTGCTGCATGCCGACCCACATCCTGGAAATTTGCTCCTCACGCCCCACGGCCAAGTCGCGTGCGTGCTCTCTCTTTTTCAACGCCTAGCTCTCACGTATGCATGCACAAATTCACACAAACGTGCCTCCCTAGGGTGTTACTGAAGGCGCCTGCCTAGGTGTGTTACTGGTGGCGCCAGCCTAGGTTTGTCACTGGTGGCGCCTGCCTAAGTGTGTTACTGAAGGCGCCTGCCTAGGTTTGTTACTGGAGGCGCCTGCCTAGGTTTGTTACTGGAGGCGCCGTACACCCACACACCAGCAGGCGATGCTGGCCCCAGTGGTGCCTCTAAGCTTCTCTCTTTTTCTCCTCACCTCTTCCCTTTCCTCCACCCACCAGCTATCTGGACTTTGGCCTGCTGTGTCGCATGGAGCGGCAGCACCAGCAGGCCATGCTGGCAGCGGTGGCGCATCTGGTGAACGGCGAGTGGAGCATGCTGGCAGCCGACCTCGCTGCCATGGACGTGCTCAAGCCCACCACCGACCGCCGCGCCCTCACCATGGTGAGCATTGCTGGCATGTGTATGTGCATTTGCATGTGCATGTGCCCACAAGGCGAGTGGAGCATGCTGGCGGCCGACCTCGCTGCCATGGACGTGCTCAAGCCCACCACTGACAGGCGCGCCCTCACCATGGTAAGCATTGTTGGCATGTGCCCACATTGGTTTTGAGACGTCTCAAAACGTGCCCACATTGGTTTTGAGACGTCTCAAAACGTGCCCACATTGGTTTTGAGATGTCTCAAAACGTGCCCACATTGGGAGTGGAGCATGCTGGCACCCGACCTCGCCGCTATGGACGTGCTGAAGCCCACCACTGACCGCCGAGCGCTCACCATGGTGGGTTTTGAAGCGCGCTCTCTTTCAGTCACTCTTGAAATGCTCTCGCCGTGCTGAATGCTGAGGTGCGCCCACAAGGCGAGTTGAGCATGCTGGCGGCCGACCTCGCTGCCATGGACGTGCTCAAGCCCACCACTGACAGGCGCGCCCTCACCATGGTGGGTTCTCACAGGGGCTCCTTCTTGAGCCGTACTCCCTCTTGATCCGCACTCCCTCTTGATCCGCACTCCCTTTTGACCCGTTCTCTTACTATCACGCTGATGAGCACTGCATTCGCCCCCCCATGCCTCACACAGCCTTGTTGCTCCCGTCCCATCGCCTCTCTCCCCTCTCGCATGCCCCATCTCACGGGCCTGGACCCAGCCCATTAACCTGCCACACCAGTTCAACCACCCTGTAACACCACCCCTCTTTTACCCTCCCCTGGTGTGCCCTCTGGCAGGCGTTGGAGGAGGCGTTTGGTCGCAGCCGACAGAGAGGAGCCGCTTCAGGAGGCGCCCCCACCATGCAGTTCGGACAGGTGCGTCTAGCACTTTGAACCTGCAAACTTGTTACCACCAGCAAGGCTGTCCAATCCAGTCATGTGTTCCCCGCACCCCTCGCCCTCCCACTCACATCTATCCGCTCTGCCAATCTGTTTCGCCCCCCTACGCCTTGTCAGTTGCCCCGAAGCCATGCACCCCGCGCTCCCCTTCTCCCATGCCCCCGTGCCACGTCCCCTCCTGTCTCCCTGGCCCCCCATGGGCAGGTGACGAGTGAGCTGTGGCGTATGGCGCTGCGCTTCCGCTTCCGCCTGCCCCCCTACTACACCCTCGTGCTGCGCTCCCTTGCTTCCCTCGAAGGTGCCTCTCTCACACTCCCCGTCCCCTGCCGTTCGTCTGTCCACCACCGTTCTCCCTACCCCCCTACTACACTCTCGTGCTGCGCTCCCTCGCCTCCCTTGAAGGTGCGATTTGCCCTCTTCCTGCCACTTCCCTCTACTCCCTGCGCTGCCACCGCTCTCCCTGCCCTTTACTACACCCTCGTGCTGATCCCTCTTGTCCCTTGAAGGTGCTTCGTTCGCCTCTCTCCACCACCCCTCTCCTCACCAGCCCCTCGCTACCATCGTGTTCACTCCTTGCTTGGTTGCATGCCCCATGGCCACCATGACCGCATGTCCTTCTCCCTCCTTTCCTTCCACCGCCATGCGAGTGTTCACCTCCGTTTACCACTATGCCACGCTTTTAAGTGATTCTCCTCCCATGCCCATCCGCTTGCATGCAGGCATCGGCGTGGCAGTGGACCCGTCCTTCCGGGTGTTCGCCTCAGCCTACCCCTACGTGGTGGCCGTTCAGTGCGTTGAAGTGCACTCTCTTCCATGCCCATGCCCATGCCCATGCCCATGCCCATCCCTGCAGGCATCGGCGTGGCAGTGGACCCGTCCTTCCGGGTGTTCGCCTCAGCCTACCCCTACGTGGTTCGCCGTCTCCTCACTGACAGCTCGCCCTCGTCGCGCCACGTGCTGCGCCAGCTGGTGCAGACACGTGAGGGCAAGCTGCGCTGGGAGCGATTCGCCTCCTTCGCTGCCAGCTCCACACAAGCCCAGCGGTACGTGGTGGAGGTGAGGGTAGCAGCACGGAGCGAGGGAGGGGGGTGGGGATAGAGGGGGAGGAGGGGGGGTGGCAGCATAAAGTGAGGTAATCCAGTTCGCTCCTCTCATGCCAAGAGGCATTGCAACCTCTCTGTGTAGTGAGACTCCTGCTCCTCCAACGTGGCTCCTCATCTCCTCCTCCTGTCCTCCCTCTTGAGCCCACACTTTCCTCCTCTTCCCTCAACCCCATCTGCTGCTTCTCTTCTCCCTTGTTCCACCTTTCTCCCTCCTGCCCCATCCATGCAGCGACCTGGTGGCATCACTGGCCATGCCATCGCTGCAATCCCCCATCCCCGGCATGCCCCCCATGCCCGGTGCCTCCCCCCTCTCCGCCTCCTCTGCCGCCACTGCTGGCGCCGCCTCTCCCCGCGCCACGCCCAGCCCTGCCGCGCTGGTGATGGACGTGCTGCTCTCCCGACACGCTGCCAGCGCACGCCGAGTCATCCTGGAGTCGGTAGGTTCCTGTCAACACACTGGTCATCCTGGAGTCGGTAGGTTCCTGTCAACACACTGGTCATCCTGGAGTCGGTAGGTTCCTGTCAACACACTGGTCATCCTGGAGTCGGTAGGTTCCTGTCAACACACTGGTCATCCTGGAGTCGGTAGGTTCCTGTCAACACACTGGTCGTCCTGGAGTCGGTAGGTTCCTGTCAACACACTGGTCGTCCTGGAGGCGGTAGGTTCCTGTCAACACACTGGTCATCCTGGAGTCGGTAGGTTCCTGTCAACACACTGGTCATCCTGGAGTCGGTAGGTTCCTGTCAACACACTGGTCGTCCTGGAGTCGGTAGGTTCCTGTCAACACACTGGTCATCCTGGAGTCGGTAGGTTCCTGTCAACACACTGGTCATCCTGGAGTCGGTAGGTTCCTGTCAACACACTGGTCATCCTGGAGTCGGTAGGTTCCTGTCAACACACTGGTCATCCTGGAGTCGGTAGGTTCCTGTCAACACACTGGTCATCCTGGAGTCGGTAGGTTCCTGTCAACACACTGGTCATCCTGGAGTCGGTAGGTTCCTGTCAACACACTGGTCATCCTGGAGTCGGTAGGTTCCTGTCAACACACTGGTCATCCTGGAGTCGGTAGGTTCCTGTCAACACACTGGTCATCCTGGAGTCGGTAGGTTCCTGTCAACACACTGGTCATCCTGGAGTCGGTAGGTTCCTGTCAACACACTGGTCATCCTGGAGTCGGTAGGTTCCTGTCAACACACTGGTCATCCTGGAGTCGGTAGGTTCCTGTCAACACACTGGTCATCCTGGAGTCGGTAGGTTCCTGTCAACACACTGGTCATCCTGGAGTCGGTAGGTTCCTGTCAACACACTGGTCATCCTGGAGTCGGTAGGTTCCTGTCAACACACTGGTCATCCTGGAGTCGGTAGGTTCCTGTCAACACACTGGTCATCCTGGAGTCGGTAGGTTCCTGTCAACACACTGGTCATCCTGGAGTCGGTAGGTTCCTGTCAACACACTGGTCATCCTGGAGTCGGTAGGTTCCTGTCAACACACTGGTCATCCTGGAGTCGGTAGGTTTCTGTCAACACACTGGTCATCCTGGAGTCGGTAGGTTCCTGTCAACACACTGGTCATCCTGGAGTCGGTAGGTTCCTGTCAACACACTGGTCGTCCTGGAGTCGGTAGGTTCCTGTCAACACACTGGTCATCCTGGAGTCGGTAGGTTCCTGTCAACACACTGGTCATCCTGGAGTCGGTAGGTTCCTGTCAACACACTGGTCATCCTGGAGTCGGTAGGTTCCTGTCAACACACTGGTCATCCTGGAGTCGGTAGGTTCCTGTCAACACACTGGTCGTCCTGGAGTCGGTAGGTTCCTGTCAACACACTGGTCATCCTGGAGTCGGTAGGTTCCTGTCAACAAACTGGTCATCCTGGAGTCGGTAGGTTCCTGTCAACACACTGGTCATCCTGGAGTCGGTAGGTTCCTGTCAACACACTGGTCGTCCTGGAGTCGGTAGGTTCCTGTCAACACACTGGTCATCCTGGAGTCGGTAGGTTCCTGTCAACACACTGGTCGTCCTGGAGTCGGTAGGTTCCTGTCAACACACTGGTCATCCTGGAGTCGGTAGGTTCCTGTCAACACACTGGTCATCCTGGAGTCGGTAGGTTCCTGTCAACACACTGGTCATCCTGGAGTCGGTAGGTTCCTGTCAACACACTGGTCATCCTGGAGTCGGTAGGTTCCTGTCAACACACTGGTCATCCTGGAGTCGGTAGGTTCCTGTCAACACACTGGTCATCCTGGAGTCGGTAGGTTCCTGTCAACACACTGGTCATCCTGGAGTCGGTAGGTTCCTGTCAACACACTGGTCATCCTGGAGTCGGTAGGTTCCTGTCAACACACTGGTCATCCTGGAGTCGGTAGGTTCCTGTCAACACACTGGTCATCCTGGAGTCGGTAGGTTCCTGTCAACACACTGGTCATCCTGGAGTCGGTAGGTTCCTGTCAACACACTGGTCATCCTGGAGTCGGTAGGTTCCTGTCAACACACTGGTCGTCCTGGAGTCGGTAGGTTCCTGTCAACACACTTGTCGTCCTGGAGTCGGTAGGTTCCTGTCAACACACTGGTCATCCTGGAGTCGGTAGGTTCCTGTCAACACACTGGTCGTCCGCTTACCTGCCTTGCTCAATCTGAGACCACTCCCAGCCCGGCAGCACTGGTGTTGGACGTGCTGCTCTCCAGACACGCTGCCAGCGCCAGGAGGGTCATCCTTGAGTCGGTAGGTTCCTACGTAGTAGGTACTATGCCCCCCTCCTGTTGACTCACAGCTTCTCCACATACCCCTGCCTTGCTAATCTGAGAACAATCCCCCTGCTGTGCTGGTGATGGATGTGCTGCTCTCGAGACACGCTGCCAGCGCACGGCGAGTCATCCTGGAGTCGGTATGAGACCATTCTCCCGTGCCTGCCTTGCTAATTTGAGTCCAATCCTCCTGCCGCGCTGGTGATGGATGTGCTGCTCTCCCGCCACACTGCCAGCACACGTCGAGTCATCCTTGAGTTGGTATGATGCTCCTTCCTCATTCTTCCCAAGACTGCTTCCCCTCCCACATGCCACACGGCTTCCATGCTGGGCCGTGCAATCCATGCAGATCCTGCTTGTCTTGTGTAACCACTGGACCCTGCAACTCGCATACGTGGGTATGGCACTCGCACTTGTCCCACACCCCATCCTCCCATCCCTGAGCTGCAGGACACTGCTTGTGTGATTTGGGTACCGGCAGTGGCAATGGCAGTTGTGTGTGAATGCGTCACTGGGCTTAGCTAAACAACTCTCCATACACGCACCCTCCCCACCCCACCTCACTCCACCCCATCACACCCCCCAACTCTGCTCTCTCCCAGGACATGCGGGCACTAGCAGAGGCGTTTGTATCCCCAGAAGCGGAAGTGGCACGGGAAAAGCTAGCACGCGTGGTGGCAGACGCGCTGTGCGCCTCACTGGGAGTGGCCCAGCTGCCCCTCGATGCCATCACCGCCTCCCAGCTCTCCTCCTCGCCCACCCGCCTCCTCGCCCCCTCTCCCCCTCCTTTGGCACCTGCTGCCGCTCTGGGCTTCGCCAATCAGAGGCAGCCACTTGGTGCGGGAGTGGCTGGTGTGTCCAGGAGTGAGAGTGGGTACGAGAGTGGGAGTGGGAATGAGAGTGAGTGGGAGGAGAGGGAGGGGAGGGCGACAGCAGCGGAGGCAGTGGCGAGGAGGAAGCGGCTGTGGCTGTTGCTGGGAGCGGCGTTTGGGCGCATGGGAGGCAGTGTGGTGCTCAAGGTGAGGGTGGTGTTGGCTGCGCTGGCTGTGCTGCTCGCTGCGCTAGGCCTGGCGTTAAATAGAGTGCTGGTGGATGCAGCAACGCGGCTCAGGCGCCTCACCTCCCACTGGCTGCCGTCTCAAGACAACCCCGCGGCCGACCAGCCTGCTTATGCCACGTAGGCTGAGGCCGTGGATACAAGGCAAACGTGCGCAGGACCAAGGTGTCTCCCAAGAGCTGGTAGTGAAGTTCTTGTCCCTTTCCACCATCAACACTGGTTTAGAAACGTGTAGTAATAATTCTCAATTTCTGTGCTTCCATGTGGTGAATGAAATGCCATTCAATATTGAGAAAGGAATTTAAGGTTGTTCCACAAACAATGGCTAAGGAATCTCCAGCCAACTGAGGAGGTTAATTATATTACATGAGTAGATAAGTTGGTAGCATCTATCAGACATGTTATGTTCAGAAGAGCTCTGTATAAATCCCACACTCTGTAGCGTTGCAATACCGTGTCAATCGTCTTCACGTGGGACGAAGAGACACTGCTCTAGGCCACAAAATGCTGGCCACGTGTGTTCCGGCGGGCATTATCTACCAATCGGAAATCGCACGTGGTATGTTCTGAACCAAGCAGTCCGTTTTTTGTCTCCGTCATGTCACTTGCTCGCTGCCTTGGGCTTGTCTACGCAACACGATTCGAATGCTGCCTGCTAGCTTTCAAAGGGAAACCGGGATTGGGTTGGATCTCGAAGTTGTCCTGAAGTGCTTCTTTCCCTCTCCTCGCTCCCCTCGCCTCCACAGCTGGTCTAGAGATTTGCGTGCTCGTTTACTGCACTCACACTAGCAGCACCATCCGTCTTATCAGACTTGTGTCTGCTCGTTTCGCTCCCAGTGATTTCTGCTGCAAGGCCCTGAAACCACGCTATTCTTTCCAAGAGCGTCTATTTAGGTGGATTTCTATGTGTCCAACGAAGTGCTCATCGAAAACATTGGTGCTTTCCTGCGAGCATCCGAGCAGAACACCGCAATGCAGTGCACGCTGACCCACGGGTGTCAGTGACAGTCAATCGCGACGCAAGCGGGCTTCCCGGGTGCAGGAATATCTGAGGGACGTTTCATCGGGCATCGGGCTCGTATCGCCGAGCGCACCAACTCACCCGTCGCCATGAATCTGCACAATGCTGCCTCTAGTAGTAGCTGAACCTGCAGCGCGTTGCGGAAAGCCAGCACGTGGAAGCGGAGCAAAGTTCCTCCGTCTGACGACCTTCGGATAGACTCCTACGTTGGAGCCGCGAGACGAGGTCGCGGAGATCTGTGTCCCTACTCGTTAAGAATGGCGCATGCTCGGTGAAAGATTAGAGCGGAGCCGAAGATTCTCGAGTCGCTCAATCACTTCTTTCGCTCATTAAGAACCACGCATGCTTGGTGAAAGAATCGAGCCGAGCCGAAGCGTGGCGCGGAGTGAAAGTGAAAGTCGAGACAGTCCAGACAAATTAGTCGCGCGGCAGGCGGAAGCGAAAGCGGAAGCGGAAAGAAGGCGGGGGCGATGGGGACGGAGGGCGGCGGAATGGTGCGCGCGGACCTGCTGGATCTGAGCACCATGGACGCGCTGGCGGGCGGGGAAGGCGCAGCCGCCAAGGGGAAGGCGGACGGGGGAGCGGCGGTGAAGGCGGAGGGCGGAATGGGCAAGGCGGCGGCGAAGGTGGCGGATGAGAGCGGAGGCGCGGCGCCGTGGACCCTGGATATGAGCAAGGTGAGTGGTAGGACGTTCAAGATAGGTGTTTCACTCACTGCTTTCGTGTCGTCGCATCACTCTGCTGAGCGCACCCCTCGCCCGTTTCTCCCTCTCTAACAACCCTGCCGCGTCCCCAGGTGATGTGCACGAACCAGCTGGCGGCGGGCGCGTTCGGGAAGGTGTTTCACGGGCTGTACGAGGGCGATGACGTGGCGGTGAAGCTGCTGAACGTGCCGGCTGACATGGCGCCCAAGGATCTGGAGGGACTCAAGAGCTCCTTTATGCAGGAGATTAAAGTGTGGCACACGCTCAGCCACCCCAACGTCGTTCAGGTACTGCGACGTCGCACGCTCTCGCACTTATCATCGTGCAGGCAATTCACCGTCGCACGCGAACCTGGTGCAGGTAACTCGCTGTCGCACCCCAACGTCGTGCATATAACAGCACAGAGCGGGTTGGAGCTAGCAGCTCGCAAGTCCCTGTAGAATGCTTCTCCATCTCCCTATTAATTCCCCTGCCCCCTGCATCTGTCCCTCCCTTCTTTTTCCCCTCCTCTCCCCCTTCCCCTCCCCCCTTCCCCCCTCCTCAACCCCTCCCCCCTTCATCCCCTTCCCCCCGCCAGTTCATCGGCGCATCGCTCAACGCGGCGAACATCCGCGCGCCGAGCGACGCGAAGCCGCCGCCCGGGCAGCCGCTGTGGGCGATCGTGACGGAGTACATGGGCGGGGGCACTCTGCGCGCGCACCTCGCCCGCCGCGGCAAGCTTCCGCCCAAGGAGAGCGTCCGCCTCGCGCTGCACATCGCGCGCGGCCTCTGGTGCGCCGCTTGGGGAGTGGGGGAGAGGGGAGAGGGGGAAGGGGGGTTGTAAGTAGAGGGGGAGAGGCGGGATGGTCGAATGCGGCGGGGTGGGCATCAAGGGATGGGATGGGCATGAAAGGGCGGGCATGGTCGGGGCAGGGTGGAAAGTAAGAAGAGTAGGGGATTGGTGGCGCGTATGAGCGTGGATGGAGGGGACAGTGGCCGTGGGCTAAAAGAATCCGCACTTTTTTTCGCACCCCCTTTCCCCTTCCCCACCCCCCTCTTCTCCTTCCCCACTCCACCCCCCAGCTACCTGCATGCGCGCGACGTGGTGCATCGCGATCTCAAGTCCGACAACCTGTTGCTGGGCCACAAGGGCACCGTCAAGATCCCTGCCCCTCTCCCCTTTCCTCTTCCCCCTTGCCCTCCCTCCCCGTTCTCCCCTTCCCGCTTCCCCATTTCCCCCCTCACAGGTACCTGCATACGCGCGACGTGGTGCATCGCGATCTCAAGTCGGACAACCTGCTGCTGGACCACAAGGGGGCGGTCGTGCTTCCTCTGCTTGCTTTCCTCCTCCTCCCCCGTCTCCCACACAACCCCGTCCATTCCCCCTCTTCCTCCCTTCCCCATTTCCCCCGTCACAGCTACCTGCATGCGCGCGACGTAGAGGGAATGCGTGCATGTAGAGGGAATGCGTGCATGTAGAGGGAATGCGTGCATGTAGAGGGAATGCGTGCATGTAGAGGGAATGCGTGCATGTAGATGGAATGCGTGCATGTAGATGGAATGCGTGCATGTAGAGGGAATGCGTGCATGTAGATGGAATGCGTGCATGTAGAGGGAATGCGTGCATGTAGAGGGAATGCGTGCATGTAGAGGGAATGCGTGCATGTAGAGGGAATGCGTGCATGTAGAGGGAATGCGTGCATGTAGAGGGAATGCGTGCATGTAGAGGGAATGCGTGCATGTAGAGGGAATGCGTGCATGTATGCGTGCATGTAGATGGAATGCGTGCATGTAGATGGAATGCGTGCATGTAGATGGAATGCGTGCATGTAGAGGGAATGCGTGCATGTAGATGGAATGCGTGCATGTAGAGGGAATGCGTGCATGTAGAGGGAATGCGTGCATGTAGAGGGAATGCGTGCATGTAGAGGGAATGCGTGCATGTAGAGGGAATGCGTGCATGTAGATGGAATGCGTGCATGTAGATGGAATGCGTGCATGTAGATGGAATGCGTGCATGTAGATGGAATGCGTGCATGTAGATGGAATGCGTGCATGTAGAGGGAATGCGTGCATGTAGATGGAATGCGTGCATGTAGAGGGAATGCGTGCATGTAGATGGAATGCGTGCATGTAGATGGAATGCGTGCATGTAGAGGGAATGCGTGCATGTAGATGGAATGCGTGCATGTAGATGGAATGCGTGCATGTAGATGGAATGCGTGCATGTAGAGGGAATGCGTGCATGTAGATGGAATGCGTGCATGTAGAGGGAATGCGTGCATGTAGAGGAATGCGTGCATGTAGAGGGAATGCGTGCATGTAGAGGGAATGCGTGCATGTAGAGGGAATGCGTGCATGTAGAGGGAATGCGTGCATGTAGAGGGAATGCGTGCATGTAGATGGAATGCGTGCATGTAGATGGAATGCGTGCATGTAGATGGAATGCGTGCATGTAGATGGAATGCGTGCATGTAGAGGGAATGCGTGCATGTAGAGGGAATGCGTGCATGTAGAGGGAATGCGTGCATGTAGAGGGAATGCGTGCATGTAGAGGGAATGCGTGCATGTAGATGGAATGCGTGCATGTAGATGGAATGCGTGCATGTAGATGGAATGCGTGCATGTAGATGGAATGCGTGCATGTAGATGGAATGCGTGCATGTAGATGGAATGCGTGCATGTAGAGGGAATGCGTGCATGTAGATGGAATGCGTGCATGTAGAGGGAATGCGTGCATGTAGAGGGAATGCGTGCATGTAGAGGGAATGCGTGCATGTAGAGGGAATGCGTGCATGTAGAGGGAATGCGTGCATGTAGATGGAATGCGTGCATGTAGATGGAATGCGTGCATGTAGATGGAATGCGTGCATGTAGATGGAATGCGTGCATGTAGAGGGAATGCGTGCATGTAGATGGAATGCGTGCATGTAGATGGAATGCGTGCATGTAGATGGAATGCGTGCATGTAGAGGGAATGCGTGCATGTAGATGGAATGCGTGCATGTAGAGGGAATGCGTGCATGTAGAGGGAATGCGTGCATGTAGAGGGAATGCGTGCATGTAGAGGGAATGCGTGCATGTAGATGGAATGCGTGCATGTAGATGGAATGCGTGCATGTAGATGGAATGCGTGCATGTAGATGGAATGCGTGCATGTAGATGGAATGCGTGCATGTAGATGGAATGCGTGCATGTAGAGGGAATGCGTGCATGTAGAGGGAATGCGTGCATGTAGAGGGAATGCGTGCATGTAGAGGGAATGCGTGCATGTAGAGGGAATGCGTGCATGTAGAGGGAATGCGTGCATGTAGAGGGAATGCGTGCATGTAGAGGGAATGCGTGCATGTAGAGGGAATGCGTGCATGTAGAGGGAATGCGTGCATGTAGAGGGAATGCGTGCATGTAGAGGGAATGCGTGCATGTAGAGGGAATGCGTGCATGTAGAGGGAATGCGTGCATGTAGATGGAATGCGTGCATGTAGATGGAATGCGTGCATGTAGATGGAATGCGTGCATGTAGAGGGAATGCGTGCATGTAGATGGAATGCGTGCATGTAGAGGGAATGCGTGCATGTAGAGGGAATGCGTGCATGTAGAGGGAATGCGTGCATGTAGAGGGAATGCGTGCATGTAGAGGGAATGCGTGCATGTAGAGGGAATGCGTGCATGTAGAGGGAATGCGTGCATGTAGAGGGAATGCGTGCATGTAGATGGAATGCGTGCATGTAGATGGAATGCGTGCATGTAGAGGGAATGCGTGCATGTAGATGGAATGCGTGCATGTAGAGGGAATGCGTGCATGTAGAGGGAATGCGTGCATGTAGAGGGAATGCGTGCATGTAGATGGAATGCGTGCATGTAGATGGAATGCGTGCATGTAGATGGAATGCGTGCATGTAGAGGGAATGCGTGCATGTAGAGGGAATGCGTGCATGTAGATGGAATGCGTGCATGTAGAGGGAATGCGTGCATGTAGATGGAATGCGTGCATGTAGAGGGAATGCGTGCATGTAGAGGGAATGCGTGCATGTAGATGGAATGCGTGCATGTAGAGGGAATGCGTGCATGTAGAGGGAATGCGTGCATGTAGATGGAATGCGTGCATGTAGATGGAATGCGTGCATGTAGAGGGAATGCGTGCATGTAGAGGGAATGCGTGCATGTAGATGGAATGCGTGCATGTAGATGGAATGCGTGCATGTAGAGGGAATGCGTGCATGTAGATGGAATGCGTGCATGTAGAGGGAATGCGTGCATGTAGATGGAATGCGTGCATGTAGAGGGAATGCGTGCATGTAGATGGAATGCGTGCATGTAGATGGAATGCGTGCATGTAGAGGGAATGCGTGCATGTAGAGGGAATGCGTGCATGTAGAGGGAATGCGTGCATGTAGAGGGAATGCGTGCATGTAGAGGGAATGCGTGCATGTAGAGGGAATGCGTGCATGTAGATGGAATGCGTGCATGTAGATGGAATGCGTGCATGTAGATGGAATGCGTGCATGTAGATGGAATGCGTGCATGTAGAGGGAATGCGTGCATGTAGAGGGAATGCGTGCATGTAGATGGAATGCGTGCATGTAGATGGAATGCGTGCATGTAGATGGAATGCGTGCATGTAGAGGGAATGCGTGCATGTAGAGGGAATGCGTGCATGTAGAGGGAATGCGTGCATGTAGATGGAATGCGTGCATGTAGATGGAATGCGTGCATGTAGATGGAATGCGTGCATGTAGATGGAATGCGTGCATGTAGATGGAATGCGTGCATGTAGATGGAATGCGTGCAATGCGTGCATGTAGAGGGAATGCGTGCATGTAGAGGGAATGCGTGCATGTAGATGGAATGCGTGCATGTAGATGGAATGCGTGCATGTAGAGGGAATGCGTGCATGTCTCCGTACAGCCATGCATCCCTCCACGCGGCCCCCATGCACCTCAACATGCACCTTACAATAACACAAACCCCTCCCACACGCACAGGTGATAGACCACAAGCCGTACACGCGGCGGGTGGACGTGTACAGCTTTGGCATCGTGTTGTGGGAGCTGGTTACCAGCGACCTGCCGTTCAAGGGACTCACCTTCATCCAACTCGCCTTCAACGTCGTCAACAAGGTGGGCGGCACATGGGCGGGCAGGGCAGAGCATGAATACTGGGTGCTCAGCTTTTGAGGCGACTGAAAAGCTGCCTTGCAAGGGGCTCACCTTCATTCATCTCGCATTGAGCGCCGCTAACACGGTGCGCTGACCTCGCACGCGGGGTGAGCACGCGTGTCAATGTCAACAAGATGGGCCAGCTGGATGATGGCGCTGGGAAGGCGGGGCGGGGAGAAACACTGGGTGCAAAGGGAAGCATCCGCTTGCAAAGATGAATCCTGGTAGCACGGATGGGGCGGAAAAGCAGGAATTAGAGAGCGGATGGTTGAGAGCAGAAAGAGTGCAGTGTGCAGTTAGTGATGCTAAGCAGCAGTCGGCTTTTGAGACATCTTAAAATAGCTCTGCTGCTTCCATCGGCCATGCAGGCCTGTTTCCATCCTGTATCGCCATGCCTATTGCCATGCCTAATCCCAACGCCCATCCCCACGCCTATCCCCCATCCCTACCCACCGTTTTCCCTCCCTTAACTGACTGTCAAACCACCTCCCCTATATTACTTCCGTCTTCCCTTTTTTCTCCTCTCCTTTCCCCCTCCCAATTCTTATATCCTCTCCTTCCCTTTCCCCTCCAAGTTTCTCCAACACCCTCTCCGCCCTCCTCCCCTCGCTCCCCTCCCCTCCCGTCATGAACAGAGCATGAGGCCGGAGGTGGCAGCTGGGTGCGAGCCGGAGCTGGCAGAACTGATGGAGGAGTGTTGGGATGCGGTCGCCTCCCTGCTGTTCCCTTCATCTTCCCTTGTCTCCCCTCATCCCGTCCTCTCTCCCATCCCACCCTCCCTCCCCCGGTCGCCCCCACTCCAACAGAACATGCGGCCGGAGGTGCCAGCGGGGTGCGAGCCAGAGCTAGCAGCTCTGATGGTGGAGTGTTGGGATGCAGACGCGGACAAGCGCCCTGAGTTCGTGCAGGTGGTGGCTCGCCTGGAGGCGCTGCAGCAGGGCATGGGAGGCACCATGGACGTGCAGGGTGGGTGCTGCACACTGCTCTGACCCCCCCTTGCTCTGATGGGATCAAATGGGGTAGGGCTAGCTAGGCATGATAAGGATAGGGTTGATGTGCGATGGGGTCGTCATGTGTTTTGCTGCTCTGGTGCGATCCTCGCATGTGGAGCAGTTTAATCCCACTGCACTGCACTGCAGGCAGCCCCTCACACCAGCAGCATGGCAGCTGTGATGTCAGTGTGTGTTGCGGGGCAGCAGTGGATGGGGCTCGGCCTTTCACCACTCTACACTTTGTTTTTCCACCCATTGCTTTGTTACTGGCTGTCTTGTGTTGTGTGTCCCTCGAGTTGATATTGAGTTGCTTATCTCTGGCTGCTTGATTGGCCACAATCCAATCTAGAGTGTTTTTGAACTGTTCATGAACCACCCCTTTACCCCCTTCCAGAAGAGGCCTCGTGCACCATCCTTTAGGGCACTTACTGGTAGTGTGCTGCAAGACCTATGACAACCCATGGCATGTGCGCATGGTGCATCATGCCCCATGGACGAATGCAAGCCACACATGAGATTCCAAACAAGCAAGTGATTATGGGTATCTGGTAAATAATTATATGCAAGAGCCATAACATTAGGGGTTCACTGAAAGTCTCAACATAATTACAGATACGGTACTGTGAATGAGCCGATTTGAAGACTATGCGTCAGGGTGTGACATTGGGAACACGTGGACACTTGTCAGCCTCTGGTTGGGCCATGGAGCCTGCCAGGCATGGGCGTGTGGGGAGAGCACAGAGAACAGTCAACGCAGTGGCAAAAAGAAATGTGCCCCATCCCACCCATGGCCCTGTGGAGGAGCTTTTGAGAATTCTCAAACGCCAACAATGCCGCATGGCCTGTCGGGAGGCAGCAGCAGCCATGTGGGGTGAAACAGGTGCTGCTTGAGGTTGGCCCGTGAGACATGCGCGATGCTCGGGGAGCAAAGCACATATCAGCAAAGCACATACCAGCAAAGCACATATCAGCAAAGCACATATCAGCAAAGCACATATCAGCAAAGCACATATCAGCAAAGCACATATCAACAAAGCACATATCAGCAAAGCACATGTCCCCATGCTGCCATGCCACCGTGCCACTGTTGCAAGTGGACACTAGGATGGCCCAAACAGGACTTCCCATCAGTGGCACCTACAGGTGTTGTCCTGGGAGGTATGGGTGCGCCTACTCACCACCACACAAACATGACCTTATACTCCACTTGGTTACTCAACTGGAGCCATCCTGCAGTCACCATACCGCCATGCCACCATACCGCCATGCCACCATACCGACATGCCACCATACCGCCATGCCACCATACCGCCATGCCACCATACCGCCATGCCACCTACCGCCATGCCACCATACTGCCATGCCACCATACCGCCATGCCACCATACCGCCATGCCACCATACCGCCATGCCACCATACCGCCATGCCACCATGCGACCACGCCAGGCCTGCACTCACAGAGCTGGGCAAAGCAGGGCTGGGAGAGGGCGGGGTCCTCAGAGAGGGGAGGGGGCATCTGGCCGAACACCATCTCACAGCTCATGTCCTCGAAGTCTGCCCATGGGGGGGGGGGGGGGAGGGGGAGGAGTGTGGAGGGTGGGCGGAGAACGGTTGTGAATCTTGAGACGTCTCAAAAGTAGGCATCTGGCCGAACACCATCTCACAGCTCATGTCCTCAAAGTCTGCGCATTGGGGGTGGGAGAGTGGAGGGTGGGCAATGAAAAATGGTTGGTGTGCGAGACCATGCTTGGGTGGGAGCAGGGCAGAGAGCAGCGGGGAGCGGAGAAGAGGGAAGGGAGGCATGCAGTGAAAGAGATGAACCGGAACTGAAAAGCAAGGCAGTGAATCTTGCAGTCGAGCAATGGTAAGCTTTGAAGAAGAGTCAGCAGCAGTGTCAGTAGTGGTAGGGTGGGACGTACTGGGTGTCATGGTGAGGGACGTACTGGGTGTCATGGTGAGGGACGTACTGGGTGTCATGGTGAGGGACGTACTGGGTGTCATGGTGAGGGGCAGGCCGAAATCGTTGGTAAAGAAGTCCTGAGTGGGCAGCTTGCACATGTTGACGCACATGCCCACACACCCACTCACCTCCAGGTACCTGCACAGCCACACCGCAGGGGAGTGGGAAGAGGGGGAAGGGAGGGGGAAGGTGGGGTGGTAGAGCAGGGCGTAGGGTGTGGCGCATGCAGGAGGGGCGCAGACACGGAGGGTGGGTGAGAATGGCAACCAGGGAAGCTGCCAGCTGGTAGGTCGTTTTGATGCCCCAAGTCTGTGTGTCTGGTGAGGTGACAACAGAAAAAACCAAGCGCAGAATGAGGCTTGCAACAACAAGAAACAGGTGGGCAAAGGTGGGAATAGGTGGGCAGAGGTAGGGAGGAGTTTGTCACCTGCACTTGGTGATCTGCACGCCACTCATCTGCTTCTGCCCGTTCACCTCCACCTCCTTCAGCTGGCCCCGTGCAGCAGCAGCAGCAGCAGCAGCAGCAGCAGCAGCAGCAGCGGCGATGGGCAACAGCAACAGCAGAGCATGGCGGGCAGGGCGGGCGCACGAAGAGAGGGCGTACAGGGCACAGCACGTGGGACACACGAATGAGAATGCGTTAGGCCAGGGGGGACAGGAGCACAGAAAGACTGGCCATCCATGGCACAGCAGCCTTGAGAGAGATGGCATGGAGCATGGTGCAGCAAGAGTGGCATGGTGCAGCAAGAGTGGCATGGTGCAGCAAGAGTGGCATGGTGCAGCAAGAGTGGCATGGTGCAGCAAGAGTGGCATTCGGCGCACCTGGCAGGGCCCCACGAGCCACTTAAAGCCGGGCACGGTGATGGCCGCATTGATCTCCGCCGACCACTTGCTGGGGGGAAACAGCTTGCGGAACTGGGGACGAGTGGCGTGGGGAGAGAGGGGGCGGGGGAGAAGGGGGTTGGGAAAGAGGTGGCGTGGGGAAGGGGACGAGTGGGGCCGCATAACGCAATGAGGTGAAAAGGAATGGCGGATGCGGGGAGAGAGAGGAGAGCAGCGGGAATGGGGAGAGAAGCGAGTACGGTGGTTGCAGCGAGGGGGGGAAGCGTCAGAGTGGCGGGGGAAGGGGAAGCATGGAGCGGCGGGCAGTGAGAGGGAAGGGCGGCTGACAGTGGCGGGGGCGTTGGGCGGCAACAGCGACAGGAGGACATTGGCCACCACGGCGCGCTGCCGTGCACGCTGCTCTGCCGCTGACCGCCCCGGAATGAAGCAGTGAGGGGAGGAGGGGTGCTCTCACAGTGGCGGGCGCGTTGGGCGGTAGCAGCGACATGAGCACGTTAGCCGTGATGGCGCGCTGCTCCGCGGCTGACCGCCGAGAGGAAAGGCATGGGGAATGCGGGGAGCGCAGAGAAGGGGGAGAGGGCGACTCACAGTGGCGGGGGCGTTGGGTGGCAGCAACGACATGAGCACGTTGGCCACTATGGCGCGCTGCTCTGCGGCTGACCGCCCCTGCATCACCCGCCGCGATACCTCCACGAACGCCTCGTACCCGCCCTTCCTCGTCGCCACCTCTGATTTCCCCGCGCCGCCGTGACGTCATGCCGCCATGCCACCATGCCATCATGCCATCATGCCGTGAAGCAGTGAGGGGAGGAAGAGGCACGGTTGGTAACACGTTCGTCTGGATTCAAGGAAGCAAGGGCGCGGATGCGTTACGCGCAATGACTAGGCCATTCGTAATACTCGTCAACACGCATCACCGCTCATCGCTCATCACTGCACACCGCGCGTCACCGCTCACCACCGATTTGTTGCTCCATCTTGCGGCGGAAGAGCCCCATGAGCGCGAGGTCGATGGGTGAATCATTGTACCGCGTCACCTGCCCCATTGGCGCCGGCTCCCCGCCCGCCTCCGCCACGCCCGCGCGCACCCCCTGCGCCGCGCCGCGCATCGCCCCGCGCGACCCGCGCACCCCCCACGGGAGGAGCGGCAGGGAGGAGGCGCGGAAGGGGGAATGGCGCGCGGCGAGGCGGAGAGGGGGCGGGGAGAGCGCAGAGGCGGATGGCGCAAGCGATGCCGCCATTGGCGGAGGAGGAGGGGATGGGCGCTGGTGAGCGGAGGCGGGTTAGAGAAACGCAGCGAGCGCAGAGAATGCGGAGTGTGCGTGTGCGCGCGCGCGTTTGTTTTTGCGGCGGAGGCAGAACGGGAGGTGTGGCTGGTGGGAGAGCAGGTGGGAGTACGTGACTGGTGGTGTCAGTGGTGCGGTGCGTGGCAGCCGAGAGCAGCAGTGATGGACTGGATTGCTGTGAGGCTGTCACAGTGGTGAAACAAACCAAACCCGATAGAGTTTGCTTCGTCACGACCCGAGTCGTTACGGTTGAAAGCGGTTAGTAGGAAGGAAAAAAAATGCCTAAATCAGAACAAATGTGATTTCAAAATGCCCACATGAACAACTTTCACTAAGCACGAAATTCCTGATCTCAACACTGCAGAAACAAGTACGCGGTATGCGCGCGGCATGTCAGCCTAGCGTTTGCGAGTCCGCGCGAACGACGCGCTGCCAGTCGCGCACGGCGATGGCGCACGACTCTCCGCCCGTGCCCTCCGCGCTTGCTGCTGCCCACGGCGCGCCGTCCTCGCTGTGACTCGTCGCGAGGTCGCCATCCACTCCGGAGCGCGCTCCACGGCTCGACGCCATGCCCGCCTGCTCGTCCCGTGCTGCTGCCGCCCTCGCCTCGGCCGCCCCCCCGTACGTCGATCCGTGCGCTCATCATGCGTCAGCGCACGCAAGCTGCCTAGGAGGCGCGGGCTGGCATTCCGCCACGCTGTTGTGCTGGGTCCCCTTTGGTTGGCACACGACCGTAACCCTAACCACTCTATTCCATGCCTGAATGCGCGTCACTGCCACGTGGCACTGCGATCGTACCTCCGCGTTCTGTCGTTTCCTTCATTCCGCCCACTTGTCCCTGTCCGCGCTGCCTCCCTCTCCCCCCGCCCGCGCCAGCAGCGCATTGGCGGCGGGCGACGAGCGCAGCGCGTGCGCGGTGGAGCTGCTGCGGTTCCTGGAGGAGGTGAGCGCGGAGGGGTGTGACTGTAAGCAGGTGATTGAAGGAGGTGCGATAATGATAAGGTGAGTGAAGTGAGGCGAGCAGATGGCAGAGAGGGCAGGGCATGGCAGTGGTCTACAATGGAGATCCGCTGCTGCTGCCTCCGCCTGTTCCCCCGCTCCTTCTCCCTCCCTCCCCCGTCCCATCCGTCCGCCCTCATGTTCTTATGTGCCTGCCAACCCCACTCCCCAACCGTGCCCCCCCACCCCACCCCTTCAGGGCGGAGACGTGTTCGACTTCCCCTTCTCCGCCCGCCTGCCCTCGCCCCTCCTGCTGCCGCTCTCCCCCGCCTCCTCCCCTTCCCCCTCCCCCCCACCTTCTGCGCCTGCCAGAGTCGACCTTCCGCCCTGCCCCAGGTGCGCTCACCCAACCCCTCATGCCCCAACCACCCCGCTACCATACGTAACTGCTCAGCCCACTTGTGGTGAACTGTGAATGCTGAGAGCACTCCAACCATGCCCACTCCATTCACTCCCACCGCACTGCACCACACACGCACTCCATGTGCCTTCTGGCTCTGCTTGCTAAGAGCTTTCCGTCCCTCACTTCCTCCGCTCTGCCGCACATCCGCTCGCCTGACTTCACCTCCCCGCCCTCTGCTCTGCTCCCTCCGTCCCTGCCATGCCTCCTGCCGTGCGCGGTGCCTGCAGCCCTGCCGCGGAGCATGCGAGGGAGGACGGTGGGGAGGATGAGAGACAGCATGGTGGGGACGACAGAGTGACACAAGACGAGAGGGTGGTGGCAGAGGGAGGGGCGGTGGGGGAGCAACAGGGGAGGGAGGATGGGAATGGACGAGGAGGAGGCGAGGGGGAGGGGGATGAGGAGGAGGAGATGGAGGAGGAAGGGGGGAGGTGGCGTGCATGTGAGATGGATGGTGATATGGGTGGGGGGGAGCAGATCAGCATAGGAGCTTTGAGTCATGGTGTGAACGCGGATGCTGAAGCTGTAGCTGAAGCTGTTGTTGATGATGACGATGACGGCACAGCTGACGTCGTGTGTATGGATACTGACGATGATACCTGCACCGCTGCAGACCCCCCTCAACCCCCCCGCACCGCCACAAATGCAATCCCTCCCAGCGCGGGCGTGGGTGAGGAGGAGGGGGCGGGCGAGTGTGTGGTGGTGACACTGCAGGTGGGGGCGCCGCTGCAAGCCATGCTGCACTCGCACTCGCACATGCTCGCCCGCCTGCACTCCGCCCTGCCCTCCCACGCCCCCCGCCCCCGCCCCCTCGCCTCCTCCCTCTCAGGCGCCCCCATCCCCGTCGAGGTCACCCTCCCTGCCAGCCCCCCTGGTGGTTCCGCGCAGGGGGAGCTGGGGGAGGGGGAGCGGGGGGAGGGGGGCGGAGGAGGGGCGGGCGGAAGCAGGGGTGGCAGGGAGGGGGCGCAGGAGGAGAGAGGGCAAGGGGAGGGAGGGGTGGATGGGTGGCGGTCGGGCATTGGGGGGATGGAGCGAGGGAGGAAGAGGGGGAGGGAGGAGGGGGGGGGGGAAGGCGAGAGCAGTCGCACGTATGAGGCAGGCCGTGCACACTCACAAGCACACGCGCTGCCTGCTGGGGAGGCGGGTGGCACATCAGAAATCCACAGGGAGATGGGAGCTGGCACTGGTGGTGCCGGCAGTGGCAATGGTGGGGGCAGCGGCGGTGGTAGCGGGAGTGGTAGTGGTGGTGGGAGCGGCAGGGGTAGGGCAGGAGGGGGAGGCGGGCAGGGTAGCAGCGAAGGGGGGGGGAGGGCAAGCAGCTTGAGCGGGCATGAGTGGCAGTTAGGGCAACAGCTGCATCGCCATGCACCTACAGCATCCACAGACCCTCTCGGGCTGCTGCTCACTCAGCAGCGTGCCCCCCCGCCCATCCCCCATGCGCCCCTGTCCCACGTCCCGGTGCCCATCCCCATGCCCGACCCCTCCTCTGTGCCCATTCCCACTGTCTCCTCCTCTTCCGCCCTCGCTGCTTCGCCCTCCGCCCTCGCCCCCTCGCTTCCCTCCCTGCCCTCGCTCTCCTCTCTCCTGCCTGATGCTCTGGAGGGAGCGCGGTCAGACGTGTGGGGGGAAGGGGGCGGGGTTGGGGGGAGTGGCGGGGGAAGGGGAGGAGAGGGCGAGGGGGGGCGTGGGGGAGCGGGAGTGACTGGGCGGGCAGCAGTAGGGCGGACAGGGTGGAGTGGGTGGGGCGGCGGGGGAGGAGGAGCGGACGGGGGTGCGGGGGCGGCAGCGGGGGGCGTGGGTAGAGGGGGAGAGGTGGGGGAGTGGGTGGCGAGGCACGTGTGGGAGGGGAGGCGGGCAGAGGAGGAGGAGGGGCGGAGGCGAGGCGAGCTGGCAGCAGCGGCAGCACGGGCGCATGAGGAGTGCGTGCTGGAGGAGGCTGATGGCATCTGGGTGAGTGAGCTGAGCTGGGAGGGCGGTGCTGTGAGAAGGGAGAGGGACAGGGGCGTGTTGTGGTATGCTGACTATTGAGTAAACTTAAGGCAGCGAGGGCGCATGAGGAGTGTGTGCTGGAGGAGGCTGACGGCATCTGGGTGAGCTGGGGGGCAGTGCGGTGAGAGGAACAGGGACAGGGCGGGGTGTGGTAGGGGGGAAGGTGTTAGAATTGTATGTTCTAGCATGCTAACACTTGTGACTGTACACCAATTGTGGTGTACAGTTGGGTTGGGACTACACCCAACTTTGGGTGTAGTCTTGCATTGTGGGGTGCCAATCCAACCCAATTGTGGTGGAGCCCCCAAATGCAACCCACTTGACCTTAGGTTGCCTCACTTCCCAAAGTGAGGCCAACCCAACCTATGGTCAACCCAACCTTTCTCCTTCAACCTTCTCTTCCTTGTATAACCTTGTGCTCTCTTGAGCTAATGTCAATCATTCTTCCTCAAGTTTCTACAGCTCCTAGTTTCTTTCAGAAGGGTGTGGTGTGGTAGGTACAGGCCGTGTGGGATATTGAGAGTGGAGAGGGCGGTGGGGCAGTGGCACATTCTCACCCACTCTCCACCACTCTTCCCCCCCTCTTGCTCCCCTCTCCTCAGGCCAACCGTCGCCTGCTCGCTGCAGCTTCCCCTTCCGCCACCACCTCTGCTGCTCCTGCTGGCGGCACTGGCAGCACAGAGGCAGGCACAGGGGCCGCATGGAGGGAGACGGGGGCGGGTGAGGAGGGCAGGGCGGAGGGAGGGGATGCATGGAGGGTGCGGGCGGGGGGCAGCAGTCACTGGGACTACGTGTTGCAGGAGATGGCATGGCTCGCCCTTGACTTCCAACAGGTGCTGCTGCCCTGCACCCTCACTCCCTCGCCCGCCCCACCTGTGCGCTCCTCCACCTTCATCTTCACTTCTTCCTGGGCCTCCTTCTCTCCTCCTGTCCTCACCTCCCCACTCACATGTGTACTTTCTGCTGCCACTAGCCACTCCGACTCACGCCCATCGTTTCCCTCTCCTTCCTCTCTTTGCCCTCATATTGCCTGCACCCTGCCCCCCACCCCTCCCTGCACCCGCACCTCCTTGCACCCCACCCCACCCCAATCCATCCATCCCAACCTACCCTACCCACCCCACCCCACCCCACCCCATTCCACCCGACCCCACCTCACCCCGCTCTGCGTGGGTGGCAGGAGCGGCTGTGGAAGAGAGCAGCGGCGAGCCACCTAGCCACTTGTGCGCAAAGGGCAGGCTGGGGGAGGGCGGATGGTGCAGGCGAGGGGAGGGGGGGGCATGAGCCGATGCATGGGCGAGGAGGGGAGGAGGAGAGGAGAGGGCAGGGAAGAGACGAGGGAAGGGAGGAGGAAAGCAAGGCAGGTTCAAGAAGCTATGGTGCTGCTGTGGCTCGCCCTCTCTCCCCGCATGAAGGCGAGGGGAAAGCAGGCGATGGTGGCGGGGAGAGGAAGCGGAAGCAAGTGGAGGGGGCGCATGGGGACGTGGAGGGGAAGGGCGGGGGGAGAAAAGCGAGGGTGCAAGTGGAGGTGGCAGGGGAAGAGGCTGACAGAGGGGCAGCGGAAAAAGGGGCAGAGGGGGCCGAGGTGGAGGGAAATGGGGGCATGGAGGGAGGGGCAGAGGGTGGAGGGGGCGCAGCAGAGAGAGGGCTGAGTGCACCGGTGACGCCGGAGAGGGAGGAGGGCCGAGGGGCGGACATGAGCTGCAGTGACTGGTGGTCGTGGGTGGACGAGGTGAGAGGCGCGGTGAAAGAGGGGGGGAGTGAGGAGTGGGAGGTGAGGGGCGAGGTGAGGGGCGAGGTGATGATGGGGTGATGGGTGAGTGAGGTGCGAGTGGGCGAGGGGTTGGCGAGTGGGCGAGGGGTTGAGGGGGTGAGGGAAGTGTGTTGCACTGCGCTTCCGTTGGCCTTGCTTCCCACCCACCGTGAGCTTTTTTTCCTCGTACATGCCCCATGTCTCATGCATCATGCCTCATGCACCATGTCCCATGCCCCATGTCCAATGTCCCATGCCCCCCATGCCCCATGCCTCATGCCTTCCACACCATTCGCCCTGCTCTTATCCCTTGCGTGCACTTGAGTCCCCTCCCCCCCCTCCCTCCCTCCCTCCCTCCCTCCCTCCCTCCCTCCCTCCCTCCCTCCCTCCCTCCCTCCCTCCCTCCCTCCCTCCCTCCCTCCCTCCTTCCCTCCTCTTCCCCGCGGGCCTCCCTCCTCCCTCTCTCTCCCCTCCTCCACCTCCCCCTCTTCCCATGTGTGCACCCCGGGGGCCAGCAGGCGCCACTCACCTTCCCCATGTCGCAGCCTGCTGTCACAGCTCTCGCGCTCTGCCTCATGCCGCCCCTCCACTCCGCCCCTGTAAGTCCGCCTTACCTATGTACGCCTTTCCACCCCATGTACGGCTTTTCTGCCCATGTACTGCCCACGTATGCCTTTTCTGCCCATGTACGCCCGCCTTGCATCTGCTGTTCATGCCCATCCTCCCATCTCTCTCTTCCACCCCCTCGTTCCCTCTTCTTGCGCCCTCCCTTCTGCCCTCACCTCCATTCCCTTCTCACCCCTATCTACCCCTCTCGTTTCCTCCTGCTTCCTTTTTCAACCCCCCCCCCCTCTTCCCCCCACTTCCACAGGACCACATGACACTCCCCCCCGCCTCTTCCCCCGAACCCTTCCCCCTCCTCCTTCCAGACTTTCTCCTCTCCCCCTCCCCCTCTCACCCCCTCCCCTCACTCCACCCGTCCCCCTCCCCCCACATCTTGTCCCAACCCCATGCCTCTATCCCCATCCACGCTCCCTCCGCCTCGTCCCTCCCTGCTGCCATCGCCCCCTCTGCTGCCGGGCCTGCTTCCATTTTGGATGGCCCAGTGGGGAAAGGCGGGGGGGCAGGGGTAGCTGTGAAGGAAGAAGGGTATTTTGGTGGGGGGACGGAGAAATGGGGAGAGGACAAGGGGAGGAAGGACAGGGGGAGGGCAGGCGGGCAAGAGGTGGTGGGGGGAGTGAGCGGCACAAGGGAGGGGGAGGAGGGGGTGCTCGAGAAAGCGGTGGCAGTGGGGGTGCAGGGGCAGAAGCAGCAGCAGGGGAGTGTGAGTGCGGCGGGGCACAAGGGGCAGCAGGGAGTGGCGAGGCAGCAGGGGAAGAAGCAGGTACTGGTGAGGCAGCGACCCCTCACACAGCTGCAGCAGCGCAAAGAGGGCGAAGCAGGGGGAGAGGGCTTGCGTGGGGAGAGAGAGGGGGCGGCGGAGGGGTGGGTGGAGGTGAGGAGGAGCGATGGGGAGTTTGGTGAGGCGAGTGCCAGGCGAATGGCGGGGCAGCAGCAGGCAGGGCAGGCGGCAGTGGGTGCAGGGCAGCATGGGTCAATGGCAGGAGACGGGGAGGGTGGGGAGAGGGGCGGGGTGAGTGTTGCAAGGGCGGGGGGTGAAGGGGCGGGTGCAGGGATGCAGGGAGATGGGGGTTTGCCGGTGCGGATGCAGGCAGAGGGGGCGCAGGAGGGGTTAAAGGCGCAGCAGGGGCAGGACAGTGGTGCAGGGGGGGCAGGTGAGGCGACACAGCAAGTAGGGAGCACAGGTGCGGGAAAAGGGGGGTTGGGCAGAGGGCAAGGTATGAAAGGTGTGGGGTCGAAGGGAGGGGGCGAGGGACGAGGACGGGGTGCAGGGGCAGGAAGGGGGCTGGGTGGGGCGAGGGTGGGTGGCATGGGGAGGGGGGCCAAGGGGAAGCAGCAGGGGGAGGGGCGCGGGCAGAAGGGGAAGGCATTGGGAGTGGGGGAGAGAGGAGGCGCTGGTGCGGAAGGGGAAGGGGCGTTGCAGCAGGGCGCATGGGGTGGGAAGCAAGGGCAGGGCGTGGCTGCAAGGGAGGTTGCAGCAGCAGCAGGAGCAGCAACGGGAGTGGGAGGGAAGGCGGGCAGCAAGGATGGTGGCATGCTGGCTGCGCCTCTCTGTGCACGCACCACCATGGGCAGCAGCAGCAGCAGCCAGCCCGCTGACCGCTCTGCCCAGGACGGGGAGCAGAGGGGGGTGGCAGTTGCGACCAGTGCTGATGCGGGAGCAAGCAGTGTGGGTGGTGGTGGGGGTGGTGGCGGTGGTGGTGGTGCAGACAGTGTGTGCAGCCCAGCAGTAGGAGCAGCTGCGGCAACAACCGCTGCAGGGGATGCTGCTGCAGCTGGCAAGGTGAATACAAACAGTCTTCTGTGGTGTGTGGGCCCTGCGTTTTTCTCTGCCATGCACTCTCCTCTACCATTCATTCCCCTCTATTATCCATCTCTTTCCCCTCCGCCATGAATTCCTCTCTGTCCTGTGTCCTCCCTCATCCCTGCCAGCAACGCCAGCGCCCATCGGCTCACCGCAAGCCCAAGAACCCTGCTGCTTCCCCAAAGGTCACATTTGCGCCCTCTGCCAGCCCCGCCCTCCCACCTCGCCCGCCTGCTTCTGCTTCCTCCGACGCTGCTGCTGCTGCTGCTGCTGATGGCGCAGCACTGGCCACCGGTGAAACGGCAGGTGGGTGGTGCCGCCGGGGGTCACTGTATGTTCTATGGTGCCACACGACTGCTCCTCTGCGATGCTCTTTTGCGCACCCATGCTGCGTGCCGTGCTTCTTGCCATGCTGCCAGTCGCTCCTGCTACAGCTTCACCTGCCCAGCACACTGTTGACCTCCCAAACCAAGTCCTTGGACAAGAAGCCCGGCTCCCTTATGCAATCCGCCACTTTTGTTCACCTGCTGTCTGCTGCCCCTGCCCCTTTCCTGACCTCTCCCCAACTTCCCGTTTTTCTACCTCCCCCCGTGACCATGCCTCTGCGCCCTGGTCTTGCCTCCACCCCAGCCGGCAAGCAGCATGTCTCTCAGCCTGCTGCGGTAACACCCTCACTGCTCCCGCACACCCACGTGCTCACTGGGGGGAGGAAGCAGGGGCAGGCAGAAGGGGGGGAGGCGGGGAGGGTGGAGACGGATGGGAGAGATGGGGAGGCGAGGGCGGAAGGCATGGGGCGGGGGGGGGGCGAGGTGGGTGGGAGGAGGGACGTGGTGGCGAGTGGCATGGGCAGGGAGATGAAGAAGAAAGGCAGCAAGCGACAGTCGGTAAGCGGCAGCAGGCAGGGGGACATTGTAGGTGATGCGCACCCCTCTCACGCTAACTGTGGCGCCAGTTTATTCTCAACTGTGACTCACTCTCACGCTAATGCTCTCAGTTTAGCTCCTACTTTTCTCCCACATCCAAACTCTCGCTCATTCTGCCACACCTCTCCCTGCCCCTCCCACTCTCCAGTCCCCCCACCATCTGCCCTCACCGCCACACGCGCATGCCCTGCCGCCCGCCACCACACCCTCGCAAGTGGAGGCAGCAGGTGCTCTCCCTCTGCCTCCTGCCCACGGGGACGTGCTGGGCGGGTCCCCAGGCAGCTCTGACCTTGCTGCTGCATGCGCGCCTGGCAGCGTCTCGGCTGACGATGCTGATGATGCGGATGGTGCCGATGACGCCCTGCCATGGTCTCCCATGGAGGAGCAGGTGCGTGCATGCCATGGCCATGTTGTCACATGCATCGTATTATCAACGTGTCCTCTTATCCTCTTATCAACGTGTCCTCTTATCCTCTTATCAACGTGTCCTCTTATCCTCTTATCAACGTGTCCTCTTATCCTCTTATCAACGTGTCCTCTTATCCTCCCTCGCTCCACCCCACGCACCGCTCTCCCATAGTTTCGTAATCGCAACAACTCTCTCCTCCCCTTGTGTGCCCCCTGGTGGCAGGTGCTACTGGCAGTGGTGAGCGACCTGGGTACCAACTGGCGCCTGGTCACCGATGTGCTGCTCTCCATCACGCACCTCACTGTGAGATGTGCTGCTCTCCATCACGCACCTCACTGTGAGCCCGCCCTCTCCATCACGCACCTCACTGTGAGCCGCCCTCTCCATCACGCACCTCACTGTGAGCCCGCCCTCTCCATCACGCACCTCACTGTGAGCCCGCCCTCTCCATCACGCACCTCACTGTGAGCCCGCCCTCTCCATCACGCACCTCACTATGAGCCGCCCTCTCCATCACGCACCTCACTGTGAGCCCGCCCTCTCCATCACGCACCTCACTGTGAGCCCACCCTCTCCATCACGCACCTCACTGTGAGCCCGCCCTCTCCATCACGCACCTCACTGTGAGCCCGCCCTCTCCATCACACACCTCACTGTGAGCCGCCCTCTCCATCACGCACCTCACTGTGAGCCCGCCCTCTCCATCACGCACCTCACTGTGAGCCTGCCCTCTCCATCACGCACCTCACTGTGAGCCCGCCCTCTCCATCACGCACCTCACTGTGAGCCCGCCCTCTCCATCACGCACCTCACTGTGAGCCGCCCTCTCCATCACGCACCTCACTGTGAGCCCGCCCTCTCCATCACGCACCTCACTGTGAGCCCGCCCTCTCCATCACGCACCTCACTGTGAGCCCGCCCTCTCCATCACGCACCTCACTGTGAGCCCGCCCTCTCCATCACGCACCTCACTGTGAGCCCGCCCTCTCCATCACGCACCTCACTGTGAGCCCGCCCTCTCCATCACGCACCTCACTGTGAGCCCGCCCTCTCCATCACGCACCTCACTGTGAGCCCGCCCTCTCCATCACGCACCTCACTGTGAGCCCGCCCTCTCCATCACGCACCTCACTGTGAGCCCGCCCTCTCCATCACGCACCTCACTGTGAGCCCGCCCTCTCCATCACGCACCTCACTGTGAGCCCGCCCTCTCCATCACGCACCTCACTGTGAGCCCGCCCTCTCCATCACGCACCTCACTATGAGCCGCCCTCTCCATCACGCACCTCACTGTGAGCCCGCCCTCTCCATCACGCACCTCACTGTGAGCCCACCCTCTCCATCACGCACCTCACTGTGAGCCCGCCCTCTCCATCACGCACCTCACTGTGAGCCCGCCCTCTCCATCACACACCTCACTGTGAGCCGCCCTCTCCATCACGCACCTCACTGTGAGCCCGCCCTCTCCATCACGCACCTCACTGTGAGCCGCCCTCTCCATCACGCACCTCACTGTGAGCCCGCCCTCTCCATCACGCACCTCACTGTGAGCCCGCCCTCTCCATCACGCACCTCACTGTGAGCCCGCCCTCTCCATCACGCACCTCACTGTGAGCCCGCCCTCTCCATCACGCACCTCACTGTGAGCCCGCCCTCTCCATCACGCACCTCACTGTGAGCCCGCCCTCTCCATCACGCACCTCACTGTGAGCCCGCCCTCTCCATCACGCACCTCACTGTGAGCCTGCCCTCTCCATCACGCACCTCACTGTGAACCCGCCCTCTCCATCACGCACCTCACCGTGAGCCCGCCCTCTCCATCACGCACCTCACTGTGAGCCCGCCCTCTCCATCACGCACATCACTGTGAGCCCGCCCTCTCCATCACGCACCTCACTGTGAGCCCACCCTCTCCATCACGCACCTCACTGTGAGCCCGCCCTCTCCATCACGCACCTCACTGTGAGCCCGCCCTCTCCATCACGCACCTCACTGTGAGCCGCCCTCTCCATCACGCACCTCACTGTGAGCCCGCCCTCTCCATCACGCACCTCACTGTGAGCCCGCCCTCTCCATCACGCACCTCACTGTGAGCCCGCCCTCTCCAATAGTCATGAGGGTTCGTCCCAAGAAAGCCCTTGCTGATATCACTCACCACAGTGATAGCACACCACAGTGACCCCGTGCTCTCCTCCGTGCACTATTTGCCGCCATCGTGTGTCCTCATGCGCCCCTCACCAGGGCGTGTATCGCAGTCCCAGTCAGTGTGAGCGCCGTCACACCGCCCTCCTCTCCTCGCCCCCCGTCCCTTCCTCCATGCCCTCCAAGGTCAGTCTCATCACATCCTATCCTCAACTCCACGTCTGCTTTCCTCGTTTCCCCTCTCCTGCACCGCTCAATGCATGCTGCAGCCCTCCCAAGCTCAATGTGTACCAACATCCTGTAAAACGTCAAGTCATACACCCATTGCCCCCTGTTGCGCTGTGTGGGTGGGCTGTGGGGTGGCAGGAGGCGGGGCGGGGCGGGGGCCAGTGGGGGGGGGGCGAGGAGGACCTGCTGAGGGAGCACCGACAGGCGGTGCTAACAATCTTCTCCAAACACCATGCTCGCATGCTGGCCGTGAGTCAACCTTAGAAACTTAAGCATGCCAATGAGAGCATAGAAACTTAAGCGTGCTTGCCGTGAGTCAACCTTAGAAACTTAAGCATGCCAATGAGAGCATAGAAACTTAAGCGTGCTTGCCGTGAGTCAACCTTAGAAACTTAAGCATGCCAATGAGAGCATAGAAACTTAAGCGTGCTTGCCGTGAGTCAACCTTAGAAACTTAAGCATGCCAATGAGAGCATAGAAACTTAAGCGTGCTTGCCGTGAGTCAACCTTAGAAACTTAAGCATGCCAATGAGAGCATAGAAACTTAAGTGTGCTTGCCGTGAGTCAATAAGTGCATGCTGGCCCTGATTGTATACTTACCTTTTGTCATGTCTGTGCTGGGGTGTCCATGTGTGTGTGTGTGTGTGTGTGTGCGTGTGTGTGTGTGTGTGTGCGTGTGTGTGTGTGTGTGCGTGTGTGTGTGTGTGTGCGTGTGTGTGTGTGTGCGTGTGTGTGTGTGTGTGCGTGTGTGTGTGTGTGTGTGCGTGTGTGTGTGCGTGTGTGTGTGTGTGCGTGTGTGTGTGTGTGCATGTGTGTGCGTGTGTGTGTGTGTGTGCGTGTGTGTGTGCGTGTGTGTGTGTGTGCGTGTGCGTGTGTGTGTGCGTGTGTGTGTGTGCGTGTGTGTGTGCGTGTGTGTGTGTGTGTGCATGTGTGTGTGTGTGTGCGTGTGTGTGTGTGTGTGCGTGTGTGTGTGTGTGTGTGTGTGCACATGTCGCATGCATGTACATGTGCGCGTCTGTGGTGGCATGTGCATGCATGCGCACGTGTATGGGGAGCAGTTGGAGGCACAGGAGTTGAAGCAGCAGGTGCAGCCACACGCCTCTCATCTCCTCGTCCTCTCCAACGTCGCTGCCTCCTCGCCCTCCGCGCCCATGCCACCCAGGTGTGTGTGACACGTCACCCACCCTCCTGTGCCTCTCAGGTATGTACAACAGGCAACTCACTCACCTGTGCTGCCATCTCACCCATCCATTGCCGCTGCTACACCACCATGTTCTCCTGTCACTCACCCCACTCCACTCCACTCTCTCCTCCCTCTAACCCCTCCCCATTCCCTCCTCCCCACTTCCTCCTCCCCATTCCGTCCATCACACCCCCATCACTGCCGTTGAACACAACCTCTCTTTCGCCTGCCCTGCGCCCACCCTTCATGCTCCCTGTGCGGCGCCACAGCCCCTTGGATCTCAGCAGCAGCCCCCCACTCCCACCAGTTGACGCACCCACCCTCGCTCCCACTACTGCTGTCGCTGCGCATGCTGCCTCGGGAGCCACGCTGCCCGCCTCCACCATGGCAGCAGCAGCAGCAGCAGCAGGGGTTGGCAGTGGTGCAGAGGGGGCAAGCGGTGCAGCAGTGGCATCAGCAGCATCTGGAAACCATGTGTCAGCATCAACCCCACCACAGGCCCACATGCCCACTCAGTCAATCGCCCCTCACACTTCCCTCCCCTCCCTGCCACACTTCCCTTCCTTCTCCACTACACTCCCCCACCCCGCCTTCCAATCCCCTTCACCTTCTCCCCACACCCCTCCCCTTCCCAGCAGACCCACTCCTCCTCCCACTCTCCCGCTCCCCCACTCCATGCCCATAGCCTCCCTGCCCTCTCTCTCCACCACCCCCCCTCCTCCTGTCACGGGACCCATCCCCCAAGCCCCCCCAGCCCCCATGCAAGTGTCCTCTGCTGCCACTGCTGCCCCTGCCATGGCTTCACCCACACCTGCTACAATGACTGCTGCACACACAGGCAGTGCCATCTCGCACTCTGCTTCTCCCTCCGCCCCAGTGCCAGCTGCTGCCTCCGCCTCCGCCCTCCATGCATCTTCCACTCTCCACACTGCCTCTGCTGGAGCCACTCCCACTGCCACTGCTCCGTATGGTAACCAGACAGCCATGGCGCATGGTAACCAGACGGCCATGGGACATGGTAACCAGACGGCTATGGCACATGGTAACCAGACGGCCATGACACACAGTCATGGTGGGAGCATGTCACAAGCCTCCATGCATGCCCATGGCCGCTCATCTCCACATGGGGTGCCTCATGCCTATGCAACTCCACACACCCACCCACATCCCCATGCACACACATACAGCCATACATACTCCCATGCGCACACCCATGCGCACACCCATCCCCGCACCCATCCTCAGGCCCATCCACACATGCATGCCCACATGCAGCAGTCGGCACTGCCATTCCCCCAGTCCCCTGCTCATGCGCACCCGCATGCCTCTGCCCTCCCCCCATCGTCCACACCCCACGCCCCACTGCCCGCAACCGCCCCCCCACATGCCCCCCCAAGGGCTCCTGCTGCTGCTGGCGGGGCCAAAGGACTGGCAGCGCCCGTGGGGGGCGCAGGGGGGCGCAGCGTGGGTGGTGTTGCAGGTCGGGGGGCTGGTGGGAGTGTGCAGGGGGGCAGGGGAAGGGGAGCGGAGGTGGTGGGAATTGCATTGCCGGGCAGCAAGGCAGCAGCGCCTCTCAGGTATGAGTTCATGGTTTTCCCTGTTATAGTACCATGACTTACCGTGAACACAGGTATGTCATATGTCTTGTGTGTCTCACACCAGATAACGATACCCTTCTGCCTTCTCGGGCACCATGCTATCCTTTCATGAATTATTACCCATCACCTCTCATTCTATTCCTCTGGCTATGTCTGTCTGCCTTTTCGCCCAGCAATGTCAGAAGTCACACTCGGGTGCTGCAGCACCGAGGGCCAGCCATGCGGCCACAGCAGCAGCAACAGCAGCAGCAGCAGGGGCATGGACAGCAGCAGCAACACCAGCAGCAATGGCAGCAACAGCAGCAGCATCACCAGCACCAGCAGAAGCAGCAGCAGCAACAGCAGCAGCAGCAGAGACAACAGCAACAGCAGCAGCAGCAGCAGCAGCAGCAGCAGCAGCAACAGCAGAGGCAACAACAACAGCAACAGCAGCAGCAGCAACAGAGGCAACAACAACAGCAACAGCAGCAGCTGCAGCAGCCATCGCAGCCGCAGCAGCAGCACCCCCATGGGAGCGGGCATTCTCAGCCCGCCAGCGGCTTTGCTCCATCTGTGTCTCCATCCGCACCACACCCACGTGCTGTGCCTGCCACGTCACCTCTTGTGCCGGCCACCCTCCCTGCTGCTGCAAGTCAATGCTTGCCAGGCCTCCCGTCCCTGCCCACTCCTCCCTCTCTCCCCGCTCCTCCCTCTCTCCCCACTCCCACCTCTCTCCCTACCCCTCCATCACTCCACACGGCACAGAAGGTGGTTGCCCTGCCTCATTCCGCTCCCGCCCATGCTCCTGCCACACTCCCTGCCTCCTCTGCTCCTCCGCCCTCTTCCCTGCCCCCGTCTCCCATTACTGCTGTGCCTTCCACTGCCACCGTGTGTGCCCCTGCTGCTGTTCCTGCCACTGCTGCCCCGGCCACTGCTGCCGTTCTTTCTACTGCTGCCCCGGCCACTGCTGCCCCGGCCACTGCTGCCCCGGCCATTGGCAACCGAACTGTGCCATTGGCCTCTGCTGTCCCCTCCTCCCAGCTGCCTTCTGTCTCCTCCTCCCAGTCGCCTCTGGGCAGGGGCAGCAGCGGTCATGCGGCGAGTGTAGGAGGGGTGGGCAGAGGCAGGGGCGCGCCAGTCACAGGTGTGGCGCGGACAGGGGGGGCGGCTCAAGTAGCAGCTGCAACATCAGCAGCAGCACCATCAGCAGCTGCAGTGCATCCTGTCACATCTGCTCTAGCACCGGCAGCATCAGCATCAGCTTCAGCAGGTGCAGGAACAGTAGCAAGTAGCAGTGGGAGTGGGAGTGTAAGTCACTTGCCTCTGCAGCAACTGCCTGGCCACGTACCGTCAGGCAATGTGACAACACATGCAGCAGCAGCAGCAGCAGCAGCAGTAGTGACAGCAGCGGGATCAGCAGCACACACAACAGCAGGTGCCGTGAAAGCAGTGCCACACACAGCAGCAGGTGCAGGAAGGGGATACACAACTGTACAGCCAAGGTCACAGCAAGTCTTGCCGAGCCCTGCACTGCCAAGCCAAACAGTGCCAAGCCAAGCTGTACCGAGCCAAGCAGTACCGAGCCAAGCACTGCCGAGCCGAGCAATACCGAGCCGAGCAGTACCTAGCCAAGCGGTACCGAGCCAAGTACCGAGCCAAGCAATGCCGAGCCGAGCAGTACCGAGCCAAGCAGTACGGATCCAAGCAATATCGAACCAAGCAGTACCGAGCCAAGCAGTAACCGGGCAAGCAATACCGAGCCGAGCAGTACCGAGCCAAGTATTGGCGAGCCAAACAGTATCAAGGCAGGGCGTGGCGAGGCAAGGCATGGGAGGAGCATCAGTGGCAGGCGTGGTCCATGCAGCAAGTGGGCAGACCCCCATGAACCCTGCGGTGCCACGCCCACCTGCACTGCCGCACACAGCCCTTGCTCCCACTGCTGCTATTCCTGCTCGTCCTGCTGCTACTGCTGCCAGTGCTGCTGCTAGTTCTGTTGCTGCTGCTGTTACTGCTGCTAGTCCGGTTGTTGATGCTGGTTCTGCTATTGCTGCGAATCCTGCTGCTGCTGCTGGTATTGCTCCTAGTGGTGGTGTTGCTGCTGGTCGTGCAGGTGTGGCAGCAACAGGTACGGCAGGTGTGCCTGGTGTGGAAATGGCTAAAGCAGTGGGAGTTGGGGGGGGTGAGAGGGCAGGAGGAGTAGGAGCACACACACGACATGTGGTGCTGCAGAATGGCATGCAATCGCACTTACAGCACCCACACTCACAGGAACCACATGCAGCTTCATCGGGCTTCGGAGCACCGACCACAACGGCATTGACCACAGCAGCACCAATCACAGCAGCACCAATCACAGCAGCACCAATCACAGCAGCACCAATCACAGCAGCACCAATCACAGCAGCACCAATCACAGCAGCACCAATCACAGCAGCACCAATCACAGCAGCACCAACCACGGCAGCACCAACCACAGCAGCACCAATCACAGTAGCACCAATCACAGGACCATTAGCTGCACCAGTCACAGGAGCACAAACAACAGGGCCAGTGGTGGGCTCAGCAGCAGTATCAGGTGTCTCCCAGGCACCCCCCTCGCCTGCATCGCCAGCAGCAGGCGCAGCAGTGAGCCCAGGCTCTACAGCACCAGCAGCAGGAGTGGCGTCTGTGGGAGCAGCAGCAGCGCCAACCCAGCAGTGACAGCAGCAGCGAGTGCTGCACAACCACAAGTTCCTTCCACACACATTCCAGTACCATAGCAGTGCCAACCAATGTGTGTAGAGTGTGGGAGTTTCTTCTGCAAGTGCAGCTTCATCAGCAAGCTTGCCCTAAAAAATGACAAAAATAACTGTTGCCTAATATCCCACGCATGAGGGATAGTTTATTCCCAGCTTGTGGCAAACAGTTGAAAATTGATACGTAGTATTCGTCTTCAGGAATTCAAAAGGGCAAACATATTTTTTGGGACTGTGTCCCGTTTTTTCTGGGATGAAAGACGTAAACAAATGCAGTGGCATTGTTATGAGTTGTACTAGGAAAAGTGCGCGGAAGACTTTATAAAAAGGATGAGAACTACAGAATGACGAGAATGATAAAGAAGCAAGCATTTATAGGGTCGAAACCGTGGCAGGCGAGGACCTCGGGACGTGGATGGGTTGGAAGTGTCGCGATTGGTGCGGGGCGACTCGGAAGTGGTTCGGGCCGAAGTGTAGGCCGGACCCAAACTGACGCGAACAGTTCGGGCTGTCCTCGCTAGGAGTAGCCTCTACAGTAATGAATTCACATTCATTACACTCTCCCACCTTCTAAATAAGGTGCCCTTATACGTAGGCGAGTCTTGCAGTAGCGTGAAAACTGCAGATCTCGGTTGAAACTGATCTGACGGTGCGGAAGCATGTTGACTTTCGAGTTGACGCGTGGCTGAGCGCGTTGACCAGGCGAATTTCAAAGAGTTGGGATGTCAGCCGTTGATACTGCCGATGTCAATCGGGCGGTTGAAAGCGAATGTCGATCTCAAATCGTTCGACGAAGGAAGACCGTCGATGTCGCGGATGTGTATCGGATGGTTCTGGTGAATGTCATGTCGGCGGGAATTCTGACGCGTTGTCAGAGATCGATGAATCTGGTGCCGTCGATGCCGATGAAGACATCGCGTGCGTCCGTCGTGCTGGGTGTGTCAGACGAACTGTCAGAAATAACTGGCGAAATGTCAGAGGCCTGCCAACAACAGTGCGTGAGCACTCTTTCTCCCCCCCCCCCCCCCCCCCCCCTTGGAAGAGAACTGCTGCCCACCAAAATGTGTACAGCTGCGCGGGCACAAAACCACAACCCCCCTGACGCCGAGGGTAGGACAGAATACCAAGTGTTATGACCCCCCGCCTGAAATTCAGCCGCTGTGTAGTCGAAATTGCGGTCGGTGGCGAAATCTTCACTGTCGAAAACCCCGAAAATGCCCAGGGTAAACTCTGTCGAAGTCCCTTCGAAAGAATATCGTTTTTGCAGGGGCTCGGCATTAAGAAAATCTTCTTGTTGTCTTGTTGTCGCGATTGTTGCTGCAGCATCTCTCGTGACTGCCACCTCGTAATCCCCCGCGTGGCAGTATCGAATCACTTTATTGCTGCCCAAACTCCAGTTGGCAGCTGCTGCAATCCCGAATTGCTGTTGCCGTTTGGCTGGTTGCTGTGGCGAAAATCTTCGCTGTAGTGTTCCAGCTGTCGGCGCCCTCGGCAGTTTTGTCCAGACTCGCCGAGGCCTTTGTCGCGTTGCTCCAAAAACTCCCGGGCAGGGACGAAAACAGCTGCTGCTCTTCCCCCTGACCTCGCAAATATTTTTCAAAGTTGAAAACTCGAACTGTCGATGACGTCAGCTACCTCGGCTGTTGTCGTGACTCGCCGAAGACTTCGGGGCAGAGGCGAAAAAGCTGTCCTTCCTCCCCCCCACCTGTTGTGATACATTTCACCAGTGTTGCGGCTGGTACCCCTGAAACTCTGCAGATTTTGCCACCATGAAGTTCACCACGGCAGTTTTCGCGCGCTTAACGCAGCGCCGCTGCAACTCCGCCGTTGTCGCGAAATTGTCGGCCGTCACCGCCGAACTCTTGTAAAGACCCAGCTCCCAGTACTGCTGCTGAAACCCGTAAGTGTCGGTGTTGAAATTTCTCGTACGTCTTGGTCACCTGCAGGTTATCCCCTTGAAGAACCGGTGTATCTAGCGTGCCCACCCGTCGCCATTTTTATTTCCTGCGATTAACCACACTAGCCACCCACCAACAGGAGGTGCTTTTTGTGCGGAACCCAGAACTATGGGTCTACCGGGACCGAATTTCACGGAACCTAGCCCGCATCAACGCCGCAGATCTCGCTGTAGAATTTCCCCAGATGGCTTCGAAGTACACCGTAAACCGCTGAAACAGCTGGCGAGCAGACGTTCACCCGTCTCCCACCGTTGGAATAAAACCCTGAAAATCATGGTTGTTGAAGCAGTCCCGAAGTATTTTCCGCCGCGTAACCCCGACGCTTCCGCCGTTAACCCTGGTACTCCGACGTTCACCCGTCTTCGCACCCGTCGAAATTACTTAGCGAATCCCAGGTATCCTTGGCGATACACCGCTCGCCGCGCCTCCATGTAACAATATCAAACCCTTTCGGGGGTCTACCGAATAGACTCCGAAATTCGCGGTGGATTGGTGTACGGGCTCAACCTTTCACTCTGGAGATCTGCTGGAGCACCCACAAATTTCCCTCCATTTGTTTTGTGTCTTCACCCCCCGACAATTTCGCTTGCCGCCGTTCACCCAGCGTTCGCTTTTGTCGGATGAGGTATAACTCCTTGTTGCTCGCGATTTTTCTGACATTCGGTGAAGGCGCGAACGCTATCGTAGCCGGGTCATGTTTATCGGATCAAACAGTCGGACCGGCCGCTTCGCTGCCCACCGCGTCTATCGCGTTTAAAACTCCTCAGCTTCGGAAATCCCTTCTTCGCCGCTACACCGCCGTCGGGTAGACCGTTGAATCAGGAGAAACTCCGACAGCTGCACCAACTGCTTCAGCTCCGGCTTTTTCGGCGGGGTAACTGCTGCCGATGGTCCGGTTTTGTTGGGGCCGAAACAGTGTCGCTCCCAGAAAATTTCTTGTACGCCCAGCTGTCGAACTGGCGCAATACCCGCGCTTTTTAGCCAGCACAGGGCTAAACACAGGGCCCCACCTTTGGATCCAGTGGCCAATAGGACTTACTCCTTGCCTTCGAGGCCTTCTGGGCGTGAGGTATGTGAAACGTCGGTAGACTTTGGCCGGTAGGGAGCTCCTTCTGCTACCGCCGCTTAGCCGCAAAACTCGGCCCTCAGCAAAAAGTCGTCGCAGTAGGTCGTTTTCGCCCCTCCTGAAGCTCGGAATCCGTTTCTCTCGCCAGACCCGTATTTGTCGCAACTCCGTTTATTGTGACCGGTAGACCAGACGAAATTCGCGGGTCTAGACGCTGCGATAAACCGTTGTCCCGTCGGTGTACTGCCCTGTCTGCGGCGCGACTTCCCTTGATCAGGGGGAACCGGTGCCGCATGAAGTACACTGTCGGCTGCTGCTGTTGCTCCGAAAATTTCGGCCGACCTTGTTGCAGGCGCAGAAGTGACCCTAACGTAGACAGTCTAGTCGTAGGCGGCCTTTTCCGAACTTTTCGGCGGTTCGAAAACAACTTCCGTCCCACACTGTGCCGCACCTGCCGAAAACGCCAAAGACGCACCCTCCTGCAGCCACACCGGCCACACCCGGGCGGAACGACGGTAGACCCCCGCTTTCTTCGGGCAGTCGTCACGCCGTCTCTCCTCGCCGTTTGCATTTTCCGACGCAAATCACTATGCGCCTGGCCTGTCCGGCCAGCTGTCGTTTCTGCCGTGAAGCCACCCGAAATCTTCGAGCACAGTGACGATGCTCACAACGTGCCGAAGACCTCCGTGATTCTCGTGCGCAACTTGACGAAAACGCCTGACGCCACTTGCCGCACGCATTAACTCCGATTTCTTCGTGCGCAGTTGACGACCACGTGAAAACTTCAACTCGCACGACCAGCTGCTCCGAGAATCTCGCGCATGCAGTGACGACAACCGTCCTGATGCCAACTGCCGCATAAAAACAGCGCCGAGATTAACGGAAACGATGAAATTTACTCACGCAATTAAATGCGACGACAGCAAAAGCTGTCCGCCACCCGGGGGGAGGGAGGCCACGGTCCATCTCGACCGTCGAGGGCAAGGATCCGTCGGTGCAGCAGGAGCGCCCGTAAAAACACGGCCGCTAGGAGCAACTATCCGTTCTCCTGGCCGGCTACTGCGCTGCTCCTGTCACCACGGCATCCTTCCCTGTCCCCCCCCCGAGGGGTAATACACTCTAAAAAACGGGGAACCTAGGAACTTAGGCTCTGATACCAAGTGTTATGAGTTGTACTAGGAAAAGTGCGCGGAAGACTTTATAAAAAGGATGAGAACTACAGAATGACGAGAATGATAAAGAAGCAAGCATTTATAGGGTCGAAACCGTGGCAGGCGAGGACCTCGGGACGTGGATGGGTTGGAAGTGTCGCGATTGGTGCGGGGCGACTCGGAAGTGGTTCGGGCCGAAGTGTAGGCCGAACCCAAACTGACGCGAACAGTTCGGGCTGTCCTCGCTAGGAGTAGCCTCTACAGTAATGAATTCACATTCATTACAGGCATCCGCAGATGTAACTGCGTTACCGAGTCTTTGTACAGCGCAACTGCCCCCCACCTATCACGAGCGGCGGTACTGTCAAGGGCTTCCCCCACCGCGCGGCTACCCCTTTATCTACGGGCCTTTCCCCCCGTGCACTGCCCCCCACGCGCACCCTCCGCTATCCCCTCTCCCTTTTCTCTCTCCCTCTCGTCATTCCTCGAACTGTTCTCTCGCGACCACCATCAGACTTATCTCCTACCCGCGCAGCGTCTCCCCACCACCCATCCCTGAAATGGCGGGTACTCTTTCCATGCACGTTCCCGTGGTGGCGGCAGCCGTGCCGGCCGCCGGCCTGCCTCAGCCCGTCGCACACTCCCTAAGGCGCGCCGCACTCGTGCCGCTGCGCGTACGTCAAACCGTCACACTCGCCGCGCAGGCGAAGCGCGGTGCCGTGGTAGCGCCACGGAACGTGGCAATGGCTGATTCGCTGACGGCGGAGGAGGAGGGCGCGGCGCGGCAGTCGTACCCGGCGGGCGTGCATCGGTACGAGGCGATGGTGGTGCTGCGACCCGACCTCACAGAGGACGAACGCGTCGCGCTCACCGAGCGATACGAAGAGGTGCGTCGCAGGGGCGGAACGATGCGACGAGGTGCGTCGCAGGGACGGAACGATGCGACGAGGTGCGTCGCCGTCGCGCGACTGTGCGCGCATTGCGCTGCCCCTGTTAGCCCTTCACGACCCGGCCCTCTGTCGATCCTCCGATTTGACAAACCATCCTGTGCCGTGCACGACTGTGCCGAACTTCTCGCTTCTCTCCCCTCGCCCTTGCCATCCGCAACTATCTTCCCGCTCACTCTTCCCCGTGTATGTGCACCCCTCTCGTGTGCACTCCGCTCATGCGCACTCCCCGCATGTGCACTTGCCGTCTGCGCACTCCCCGCCTTTTCACGCCCCTCAGGTACACATCTCTCATGCATCCTTCCCCCTCTCCGCTCCCCCTCCCCCTTCTCCCCCTCCCACTTTCCCCGTGTGCAGTTTCTCGTGGCGGGCGGCGCACTGGACGTGGAGATCTTCAACCGCGGCATGCAGCCTTTGGCGTATAGCATAAAGACAAAGAACATGGGTGGCGTGATGAGCCGCTACCTGGACGGCATCTTCTTCCTCTTCATCTTTGCCGCGCGCTCCGAAGCGCAGGTGAATCTGCAGCAGCGGCTCAACCGCGACGATGACGTCATCCGCTCCACCACCTTCCGCCTCAAGGCGTGACGCGCGCAACCCCGCTGCAGGTGAGGCGCGGCCAGGGGAGGGGCGGGGAGGTTAGGAGAGGGTCAAGGAGGCGAGGGGAGGCGAGACGAGGCAAGATGGGATGAGGGGATTATGCGAGGGGAAGAGAGGCCGAGTGGAAACAGAGGGTGAGTGGGAACAGAAAGTGAGTGGATGGCATTGGGTGATTGGAATAGGCATGGTGGCTGAAACAGACTACGGCGGAGTGGAACAGAGAGTTTGCCCGTTGATGAGGCAGCGGAGGAGGTGCGTGACAGAGGCCATGCGACTGGGGGCAAGGCGATCTTAGTCTCATAGGCAGGTGATCTGTGGGTTAAAACCAGTGGTGGCCGCTGGCCATGGTGGCCTCGTCTTCATACATGCAGTGAATCTCTCTCTCTCTCTCTCTCTCTCTCTCTCTCTCTCTCTCTCTCTCTCTCTCTCTCCCTCCCTCCCTCCACACACACACACACACGCACACATACTCTGAGCTCTCGCCCTCGCTATCTTTCTCGCCCCCTCATGCCTGCAGGACTGCATGATTGTTTTGCAGGGCTATACATGTTGTGCTGTTGACCTGGGGCATTGTCATACCCATTTTGCAATCATGCACTCCTGCATCTGATGCCTGTACCAATAACAATCAAATCTGCTGTTTTTGCCTGGATCATCCTTGGAAACCTTGGCAGCTGAAGAATCAGACCCCGCTTGAGTTCCGTACGAAGACCCCACTCATTGTGGTTTCTCCTTTGAAAGGAAGTTGCTGCAATGCTTATCATTAACAACTCACCTCACCTGCTTGGTTTTTGCTGTAGCATAGATAGTCAAAGGCTACAATGTGAATACAAATGATATCACATCAACCCGAGAAACCTATGTGCAGGAGATGTATTCAATATCACAGACCTCCGAAATTCGTAACAGGTCCACATGGACAATGTCGCGAATGGTTTGCCCAGATCCAACAATATCACACGTTTCCTGGCTGGTGATCTGTGATGAACAAACTTCCAGGGGTTCCGTTGTCAGGGAGCACTCTCCCGCTAGCCCGCTCATTCACTCACCCACTCCGGGTTCATCGTCCCTTTCACCAACTGATGACACGATCCTCGTCCCTCCAAGTTAGCACGCCACGCCACATCATACCTTCCTCTACGTCTTGGGATTATCCATCGACCCACCTGCTTATCCCATCCACTGTGCCACCAACTCAGGTAGAATCCATGGCCAAAATCGCCATCGCCTTGATATCAACACCAGCACCCGTCACACTGCTTCACCCATGCCTTTTCAAACCAGGGTCTCATGGTGTCTCGCAAGTAGGCAGTTTTACGAAATCAACCTACCAGCACGACACGGCTTTCAGCGTTTTACAAATCGAATTAGGTTCTCTAAGGTGTCGCGAGCAACGGCGTTGACGAGGAGGATATGGCCGAAAGTGTGAGAAAACTGGTTTTCATATAATGATGATTAGCAACACGACAAGATGCTGACGCCAGCCAATTGATAAGCAGCTTTTCAAGTTATTTTTTTAGGTATTTTCAAAGGATGATTACCGTAACTCTGTGCAAGTTCTGTATTTTAAGGAACCTCCAATCGCGCCGGCCTCTTCAACGGTCTGGGAGGCAAGTAAGCATCCATTTGTAAGCTTTAGTGTATTGGTTTTCCGCGGCAACTAGTAACTTTACTGTTTTACGTATGTCGCAGAGGCCAAGCTTGAAAAAGAGAGGCACCTGAGGCGAAGCGCAGAAGGCAATGTATCGATGAGAATAACATTGCAAGGCCTCGTGATTTGTACTGCGTCCACGGTGGAGTTGGAGACGGCTGTGATGTTTCATGTGTCTCATGCCGCCCCGCTCCACCCTTCCATCACCAGGAGCTGGTGGCACAAGTGGCGCAGCTGAAGGTAGAGAAGGAGCAGCTTCGCGCCCAGCTGCTGCTGCTGCAGTCCCACATGCACGCGGTGAGTCAACAGCAATGGGTTGAGTGCACAGATGCCGCTGCTACCTATGCGTAGCCTGCCGTGCACGTGTGCATGCGTACCCACGCACGCCCAAAAGACACGTGCGTGTGTGTGCGTGTGTAAGCCACACTCTTGCCTCAACTCGACCAGTGTCTTCACTTGCCTTTCTGTCTGCCCTGCAGGCAACACAAGCTGAACAGCAGCGCAACACATTGGTGAAGCACTTCTTCACTCTATTCAACTCAATGACGCACACACAAGTGAGTGATTTCCCTTGCACTCCTCCTTCACTTTCGTTCCTTCCCACCCACCTTCTCCTTCCTCCCTCCGGCCCAATCTCCAATGTGTTCCTCAGTTATTAATTATGTTTTTTCCATACCTTTTGTTTGACATCACACCTCTAACCCCCCCGACCTTGTCCCGCTCCCCTCACCTCCTATGGTCTGCTCTGCACCACGCCGATATCCCTGTCTGCAGCAGCGCCAACGGCATCTTTATTTTTCCCCTCCGTACCCTTTGTTTCTCATCCCTATCCACCTCAACCATGTTCTTTTCACCTCACCCCCCATGCCCAGCAGCTAGCTGCCACGTCTACTTTTGTATCTGCAACAGCAACGGCAACAGCAGCACCATCAGAGCCAACAGCAGCACCAGCTGTACAGGGCCTCAGATTCACTTTTAGGGTTGTCGACCCATCAGGGTACCCCTGTGTAGAAACCCTGATTGACAGTGTTCCTAAAAAAAAAAGCCTGAAATATAAGTGTTGCCTTTGAAAAAAGGCTGATGCATCAGTGTTCAATAATATAAAAGCTGTTATTATTAGAAATCTCTATTTTAAATACTAAGTCAGTAGCAGCCTTCCGAAACATTGCTAAGCTAAGGGCATGTTCCTACGGCTCTAGTCAGGCTGGGCCCTTGTCAGACTTGGTCATTCGAGCGATTTCGTTATTAACACCGTTTTTCAGACTTTCAAAACAAACGGTGCTACACGATGAATTGGTCACACGAAACCTATCACACGTGCTGTTTCAGCGAGCCAGGTCAGTTATTCGCGCAGACGAAGATTTTACAGCCACCAAGCGCACGTTTAGGTCGTTTGTGATTTGTCAGGACTCAGGAAACAATTGTACCTTTGCGACCTTTCGGAACGGGAGCGCTGCGCAGTGCCACGTCACCCCACTCATTGTGTCGCGTGTTAGAATCTTAGGCAAGGTGAGGTTGGACTATCGAGAGTTTTGGTACAAAAGGAAAACCGAAGGGGTTGTACCCCACAGTGAGTACCCCACTAAAGCGTACCTAAACTATAACATCTAAACATATGTTTGACACACCCCCATAGGCAAAGTGGGGGAGAACACAGGGTCACAACGCCAGACAGCAAGTGCAAAACAAGCTCAGGGTGGATCACAATGTCACCACGCAGTCAGAGCACAAGCAAAAGGCCACAAGGCCAGTTCACATGCAGAGATATATGTGTAACAACAACAGCACAGTGATATCTACCTACAAGAGCAAGCATGCAGGCATACATATAGATCACAGTACAAACAAAGCCTACAGCAAGTGAGGAAGCGTGGGAACAAGGCCTAACAAAGTGCCGAAACGCTGATGATCACCAGGCGGAAGCGCCTTGGTGAATATATCAGCAGTGTTGGCCCGAGTGGCCACGTAAGCAAGACGAAGCTGGCCACGCTGCTGCAGCTCTCGAGCAAGGAAGTAACGTAGAGCGATGTGCTTCGTTCTGTGCTCCAGTCTGTGCTCCTGACACAAGGCAATGGCAGCCTTGTTGTCGACGTACAGAACTGGAGGAGAACGAGGCCGCTCTCCCAAGTCGGTCAGCAGGTAGGTGAGCCAGTGTAGCTCCTGTGCAGCCATGGCTGTGGCGTAGATCTCGGCCTCACAGCTAGAGCCGAGAACTGAAGACGAACGTGTAGAACGCCAGGAAACTGAACCAGAACCAAGGCTGAAGGTGTAACCCTGTGACGACCGCTGCGTAGCCTGGTCGTCAACCCAAGAGGCGTCCGAGTGACCAGTGAGGACAACGTCACCCCGTCCTCCAAGCACGAGCCCCATGCCCAATGTACTGCACAAGTAGCGTAGTACCCTCTTAGCAGCATCCATGTGCACCTTTCGGTGCCGACAAGGAGCCACGTAGCGAGCCAGAAGGCCAAGAGGGTACGCAAGGTCAGGACGAGTGCAGGTCATCAGGTACATGAGGCAGCCCACTAGCTCTGGGTAAGGACCACTCGGCTCTACGGACTCGTCCGAAGGTGGAGCTGAGAGCGAGTGACCTGTAGCCAGAGGAATGGCCTGTGCTGAGGACCAGGTGAAGCCGAAGCGCTGAAGGACCTGCTGCACCATGTGTGACTGAGTCAGTGTGATGGTGCGGCGTCCTCTGTCCCGGGTGATCTGCAAGCCAAGGTAGCTGCGCAGCTCACCCAGGTCTGTGCACGTGTGTCTCTTCTGCAGCTCCGACTTCACCAGGGCGAGAGCCTCAGTGTCAGCAGTGGCAAAGACCAAGTCGTTGACGTACATGAGGATGTAGAACGGCGGCAGCGAAGTGTCGGTGCGCAGAAACAGCGACGGGTCAGCAGTCGACGGAGCAAACCCAAGAGCCGCAAGTGTCGTCCTCAGTGTGTCGTGCCACTCACGTGGCGCATGGCGGAGACCGTAGACCGGCCGCCGGAGGCTCCACTGGGTACCAGGAGGGAACAACCCAGTGAAGCCAGGAGGGCGGCGTAGCCATATCTCCTCGTGCAGGCTGCCCTGTAAGAAGGCTGTGCTGAAGTCAAGAGAGTGAAGCTCGTAGTCACGCTGAGCGGCAACGTGTAGCAGCACCCGAAGAGTGGTCATCTTCGGGGTGGGGGAGAAGGTATGGAAGAAGTCAACTCCCTCTCGCTGACTGAAGCCTCGAGCCACGTAACGAGCCTTGAAGACAGGCGGAGAACCTGGCGGCCGCTTCACCCTGAAAATCCACATGCCACTGACAATGTTCGCCCCAGGAGGGGGAACCTCGTCCACGTAGGTGCCTTTTTTGGGTGATGTGATGCGACTAGACACCATGGAGTGGAGATGTGAGGTGAGTCAACACTTTTTTGGGTGATGTGATGTGACTAGACACCATGGAGTGGAGATGTGAGGTGAGTCAACACTTTTTTGGGTGATGTGATGTGACTAGACACCATGGAGTGGAGATGTGAGGTGAGTCGACACTTTTTTGGGTGATGTGATGCGAGTAGATACCATGGAGTGGAGATGTGAGGTGAGTCGACACTTTTTTGGGTAATGTAATGTGAGTAGACACCATGGAGTAAAGATGTGAGGTGAGTCGATACTTTTTTGGGTAATGTGATGCGACTAGACACCATGGAGTGGAGATGTGAGGTGAGTCGACACTTTTTTGGGTGATGTGATGCAAGTAGACACCATGGAGTGGAGATCCGAGGTGAGTCGACACTTTTTTGGGTGATGTGATGCGACTAGACACCATGGAGTGGAGATGTGAGGTGAGTCGACACTTTTTTGGGTGATGTGATGCGACTAGACACCATGGAGTGGAGATGTGAGGTGAGTCGACACTTTTTTGGGTGATGTGATGCGAGTAGACACCATGGATTGGAGATGTGAGGTGAGTCGACACTTTTTTGGGTGATGTGATGCGAGTAGACACCATGGAGTGGAGATGCGAGGTGAGTCGACACTTTTTTGGGTGATGTGATGTGAGTAGACAACATGGAGGAAAGATGTGAGGTGAGTCGACACGTTTTTGGGTGATGTGATGCGAGTAGACACCATGGAGTGGAGATGTGAGGTGAGTTGACACTTTTTTGGGTGATGTGATGCAACTAGACACCATGGAGTGGAGATGTGAGGTGAGTCGACACTTTTTTGGGTGATGTGATGCGAGTAGACACCATGGAGTGGAGATGTGAGGTGAGTCGACACTTTTTTGGGTGATGTGATGTGAGTAGACAACATGGAGGAAAGATGTGAGGTGAGTCGACACGTTTTTGGGTGATGTGATGCGAGTAGAAACCATGGAGTGGAGATGTGAGGTGAGTCGACACGTTTTTGGGTGATGTGATGTGAGTATACACCATGGAGTGGAGATGTGAGGTGAGTCGACACTTTTTTGGGTGATGTGATGCGAGTAGACACCATGGAGTGGAGATGTGAGGTGAGTCGACACTTTTTTGGGTGATGTGATGCGAGTAGACACCATGGAGTAAAAATGTGAGGTGAGTCGACACTTTTTTGGGTGTTGTGATGCGAGTAGAAACCATGGAGTGGAGATGTGAGGTGAGTCGACACTTTTTTGGGTTATGTGATGTGACTAGACACCATGGAGTGGAGATGTGAGGTGAGTCGACAATTTTTTGGGTGATGTGATGCAAGTAGACACCATGGAGTGGAGATGTGAGGTGAGTCGACACTTTTTTGGGTGATGTGATGTGACTAGACACCATGGAGTGGAGATGTGAGGTGAGTCGACACTTTTTTGGGTTATGTGATGCAAGTAGACACCATGGAGTGGAGATGTGAGGTGAGTCGACACTTTTTTGGGTGATGTGATGCGGGTAGACACCATGGAGTGGAGATGTGAGGTGAGTCGACACTTTTTTGGGTGATGTGATGTGACTAGACACCATGGAGTAATGATGTGAGGTGAGTCGACACTTTTTTGGGTGATGTGATGCAAGTAGACACCATGGAGTGGAGATGTGAGGTGAGTCGCCACTTTTTTGGGTGATGTGATGTGAGTAGACAACATGGAGGAAAGATGTGAGGTGAGTCGACACGTTTTTGGGTGATGTGATGCGAGTAGACACCATGGAGTGGAGATGTGAGGTGAGTTGACACTTTTTTGGGTGATGTGATGCAACTAGACACCATGGAGTGGAGATGTGAGGTGAGTCGACACTTTTTTGGGTGATGTGATGCGAGTAGACACCATGGAGTGGAGATGTGAGGTGAGTCGACACTTTTTTGGGTGATGTGATGTGAGTAGACAACATGGAGGAAAGATGTGAGGTGAGTCGACACGTTTTTGGGTGATGTGATGCGAGTAGAAACCATGGAGTGGAGATGTGAGGTGAGTCGACACGTTTTTGGGTGATGTGATGTGAGTATACACCATGGAGTGGAGATGTGAGGTGAGTCGACACTTTTTTGGGTGATGTGATGCGAGTAGACACCATGGAGTGGAGATGTGAGGTGAGTCGACACTTGGGTGATGTGATGCGAGTAGACACCATGGAGTGGAGATGTGAGGTGAGTCCTTACTTTTTTGGGTGATGTGATGTGACTAGACACCATGGAGTGGAGATGTGAGGTGAGTCGACACATTTTTGGGTGATGTGATGTGAGTATACACCATGGAGTGGAGATGTGAGGTGAGTCGACACTTTTTTGGGTGATGTGATGCGAGTAGACACCATAGAGTGGAGATGTGAGGTGAGTCGACACTTTTTTGGGTGATGTGATGTGAGTAGACACCATGGAGTAAAGATGTGAGGTGAGTCGACACTTTTTTGGGTGATGTGATGCGAGTAGAAACCATGGAGTGGAGATGTGAGGTGAGTCGACACTTTTTTGGGTGATGTGATGTGACTAGACACCATGGAGTGGAGATGTGAGGTGAGTCGACACTTGGGTGATGTGATGCGAGTAGACACCATGGAGTGGAGATGTGAGGTGAGTCCTTACTTATTTTGGGTGATGTGATGTGACTAGACACCATGGAGTGGAGATGTGAGGTGAGTCGACACTTTTTTGGGTGATGTGATGTGAGTAGACAACATGGAGGAAAGATGTGAGGTGAGTCGACACGTTTTTGGGTGATGTGATGCGAGTAGAAACCATGGAGTGGAGATGTGAGGTGAGTCGACACGTTTTTGGGTGATGTGATGTGAGTATACACCATGGAGTGGAGATGTGAGGTGAGTCGACACT